AAATCCGTAGCCGGAATGGAAGAGATCACCAACAACACACTCTGCAGCAGGTTTGACATGTGTCAAGTTGGAAACCTGCGAGACCCGGCCACTGGAGAAGCAATCAGAAAGCGATTGGAAGTGCACACGACTTCAGAGACTCTGCATCGAAACTTGCATAAGCGTTTGTGCCCAGGGCTTCATGTTCATCGCCAAATTGCCGGTCAGACTGTCGTTCATGGTCATCGGATGCCGTTGTCCAAGTTTACAGAACAATATCCACCAAAGTTTGCCCGACAAGTTACCAAAATCATGTTACAAAGTCATGACACACCGGTGTTTGGTACTGAAACAGTTGAGGACGAAGAGCATCCGACCAAGAAACGACGTCTTGGTCAGAAAATGAACTTGGAAGCCATAGCACAAAAATTCACCAGCATCAATTGGCAGACAGTGATGACATTGGCAGATCGACTAGCTCCCCGAGTTGGCACTATGATCGTTGACCATGGACCACTGTTTCAGCAGGTGCAACACATGTGTAGCAACCAAACTGTGAAGCATTTGGTTTTGTGTAGAGGCACGGACCGATATGTTGGTCCCAACAAATCAATGTTTCCTGGAGAAGCCCCTTTGCGGCGCATGATATGCATCCGTAGGAAAATTGAAGATGTTCAGGTGGACACTGAGTGGGAGCCCTGGGAAAAACTCACGTACAAAGGCCTTCGAAGAAAGGCCATGCCAGCCAGGGTGAGCTTGACGATTTTTGCGCAAGCCAAGTCTATGACTGAGGAATCAGGGAGAATTTCTGCCGATGCTGCAATTCCAGCGATGCCAGAGAGAGATCATGCTCCGCCATCGATTGCACAACCCTCAGCCAAGAGGATCCGATGGGACACAATGCCAGAAGTTGAAGTACCCAGATCATCAGACTCATCATCATCCACCCCTCCACCAAATCCATCCCTAAGGACCAGTAACAATAATCCTGCTAACCTTAACGATAACGTTACCCCAGACAACAGCAATGAAAATACTCCAGTACTTCCAGAGAATCCAAAGGCCAAGGAATTCCCTGAAGTGGACCGAAATGTTATCGACCTTGCCAGCCAAAAACATGGACCAAAATTCCTCAAGCTAGAAGCCAGTGAGCAAGCATGGTTGATCAAGATTCATAGGAACCTAGGACATCCTGGCCCTCAGAAGCTGATGGAATTTTGCAGGCAATTGAGATGTCCGGAAGAATTCCTCCAAGCAATTCCGGATTTGAATTGTTCCACGTGCAAAGAGACACAACAGCCGAAAGTGGCACGACCGGCCGCTATCCATGAGCCGATGGATTTTGGTGAAGTCATTTCTATGGATGGGGTAACTTGGACCAATAGCAAGGGTGACCAGTTCCATTTTTATCACTTCATTGACCAGGCAACGTCATACCACACGGCTGTAGGTTCTGTCTCAAGATCGGCCACCAGTGCAATCCAATCCTTGCTTCAAGGATGGTTCCAATGGGCGGGTGCTCCAAGCATGATAGTGTTTGATGCTGCGACCGAGTTCAATTCTGAAGAGTTTGAAGCTTTTCTTCAGCGCTTTAATGTCAAGAGCAAAACATGTGCAGCCGAAGCCCATTGGCAAAACTCAAGGGTAGAGAGACATGGGGGGGTCTTGCAGATGATGCTTACCAAAATGGATCACGAAGAAGGTATCACCTCCTACTCTCAACTTGCTACAGCCTTAATGCAAGCCACCATGACCAAGAAGAAGTGGAGTAGGTATCGAGGATATCCCCCTGAAATGCTTGTTTTTGGTAAAAGCTCGAAATCACCTGCGTCGGTCATCAGTGATGATGACTCAGCTGCCCATGAATTTGCCTTGCGTCCGACAGCAGAAGGGTTACGCTTCCGAGCGGAGCTTGAATGTCGGGAAAGAGCTCGTCGCGCATTTGCTGCTGTAGATGTAGATAATGATCAAACTCTTAGGAGAGCACTTCATGGTAGGAGCCGCCCCAGCCGAGGGCAATATGCTGCTGGGGAATGGGTCATGTTGTGGAAACAAAGAGGGGAAGCCAGTGGTCAATGGGAGGGTCCAATGAATGTCATTATCCAAGAAGGAAACAAAGTGGTCTGGGTAACTAGAGGAACCAAGTTGTATCGAGCTGCCCCGGAACACCTTCGGCCTCTCTCCGCAGTTGAAGAATGGAATCAAAATCAGCAAGCTACCAATGAACATGGAAATAATCCACACCAGAATGCACTGAGTATCATACCACCTCATGGAGCCACACAACTCCACAATCTCAATAGTCAAGTTATACCTCCAGATAACAGTATGCCTCCCAATTCCAACACTCGAACAGCCATTCACATTCATGATGATTCCAGTGAGATTCAAAGTGACCCTGAACCAGAAGCCACACCTGGCAATCTCACACCTGAGGGAGGTGAGGATGCGTCCAACAGCCTCCCAAATCAGTTTCCTCAGATGAGGTCAGACAGCTTGCCACCGTTGTCGGCTGAAACAATTGCTGCACCTGTACAGACACCGATCCCCGAAGACAATGACGATGGTCTCATGGTAGAACCGTGTAATTGGTTTGAAGATCTCAACGAGTGTTTTCATCTATCGGAGGATCAAGTCTGGAAACTGGAAGTGGACATCAATCATGCCGACATTGACAAATGGCGACGGGAAGCAGATCCATATGCCATGTCATTTTTGGTGTCAGCAGCCAAGAAACAAAGGAGTGAAGTCAAAATGTCTCAACTCAGTGAGACTGAACGTCAGATGTTTCATCAAGCCAAAATGAAAGAGATGGACAGCTGGCTGGCAACAGAAACCGTGGCAAAGGTTTTAAGACACCAAATCCCTGAGGAGAACATTCTGCGATGCCGATGGATTTTGACATGGAAGCCTGTGGACTCTCCTGGTCCCAAAGATTCCAAACACGTTCCTAAAGCCAGGTTAGTAGTGCTTGGATATGAAGACCCTTTGGTGCATGAGATACCACGTGATAGTCCAACCATGTCAAAGCTTTCCAGGATGTTAATAGTTCAGTGGGCCGCTTCAATGGGATGGGATATCGAGTCGTTTGACATCAAAACTGCCTTTTTACGAGGTCAAGAACAAAGTGAAAGAGTGCTTGGGGTAGAACCTACTGCTGAACTTAGGGAAAAGCTGAAACTCAAGCTAAACGAAGTTCTTCGACTGTTGAAAGGAGCATACGGACGAGTCGATGCACCCTACTTGTGGTTCATGGAACTGAAAAAGGGTTTGGAAAGCCTCGGGTTTATACCTTCACCATTTGATCCATGTGTGTTTGCGCTGCCAAATGAAAAGTCTGGAACTCCAGAAGGTATGGTAGGCATCCATGTTGATGATGGTTTATGCTGTGGCTCAGAAGTTTTTCAGGAAAAATTGAGACAGCTGTCAGAAAAGTTTCCTTTTGGATCACACAAACGCAGAAACTTCACGTTTACAGGACTCAAAATCGATCAACAACCAGACCAATCCATCCATATCCACCAAACTCAATATATCAAAGATATTCATCACATCACGGTTTCCCGAGAAAGGAGAAGTAAACCTGATGACCCTGTCACTGACTCTGAAAGACAAGAATTGCGAGCCCTCATTGGGTCGTTACAGTATGCCGCCGTCAACAGTCGCCCTGACCTCTGCAGTCGTTTAGGATGGTTGCAATCACGAATCAACAGGGCACAAGTCTCTACGTTGCTGGAGGCCAACCGAACACTGCACGAAGCAAAGCTTCATGCAGAGGTGACAATCAAAGTTCAGCCGATTCCTATTGCAAAGTTGCGATTCGTAGCGTTCTCTGATGCCTCTTTCTCTTCGAATAAGGAGCCGGATTCCCACCAGGGTATGATGATCATGTCATGTCATGAGAACATAGGAAGTAACCGAACTAGCCCAGTGAATCCGTTGGTCTGGCACTCGAAGAAGATTCAGAAGGTGGCAGTGAGTACGCTCTCGGCCGAAGCGATGTCACTTGCAGGCACCGTAGATATGCTGTCTTGGGTTCGTTTGTATTGGGGTTGGATCATGAATGTGAACATCCCTTGGAAGAAGGCTGATCAGACATTGCTGCAATTACCACCTGCATTCGCCGCCATACCACCAAGTGACTCTGAAACTGAAGTACCTCCCTGCCCTGACAATACATTTGAACTGTTGAAGCAAATCCCACAAAACAACAAAGCCATAATAACCACTGATTGCAAGTCTTTGTACGATTTAATCAGCCGAACAGCACCTCCCAGCTGTGGAGAATTTCGAACCTTACTCCAAGCCAAACTGATAAAGGAACACCTGAACAATGGGATCCAAATCCGTTGGGTACCCTCAGCCGCACAAGTTGCCGACTCACTTACCAAGGTCATGGACAACACAATGTTGCGAGAATGCCTCCATTTGGGGAAATACTGTTTGCACGATGAAAGTGAGATACTTAAAGCAAGGTCTGATTCCAGGTCTCGATTGCAATGGTTGCGACAGTCGGCAGCTTCATATGGGGAACGATAACCGAAAGGAAAAGCCAAGACGTCCTTGATGGTGCATCTAGGAAATATGAAACAGATTGCTTGCAACTGGCACATTGTGATTTTTTTTTGGTTATTGGGTATGTGAAACCACTGCCATTTCCCAATGTGCAACTCCTTGTCAGCCTACATGTGCACCATCCCATACATCCATCATTGCCGAAGCCTGGGGCTCCGTGAGCTAAGCAGGTGGGTGGGCATAGGCTTTGAGCCATAGGAGGATCGTGGCCGATCCCTTGCACCGTGTGCATTCAGCGATTGGAGGAAAACATAGCGGACGCTGCGGTGCAGCGAGGTGGAACCTTTTGGGAGCTCAGGGAGCTCAGTTGGTTGGGCCGCTACCAGTTCTAAAATATGCACATGTATATGTATATATATATATATGCATAAATATATACTTATGATATGTTGGTGATGAACTGCACAACTCACACCGTTGCTTTGTCGCTTTCCGGACCCAGTCACCAAGACTTCGCGCCACTTCTGGCCCTTTGTCAACGCTGCGAGGAGGGCACCCAGCGTCACCAGACTCTGGCGGATGCCCCTCTGGGACATCAGCCTGTCCGAAAGGTCCAAGTTGGCTGAGGGAGGTGAAGAAAGCATCAACTTTTTCATACTTTTTCATGGAATCTGGGAGTTGATGGTTGATGAATGTCGGATTTAATAGGATCTTAATGGGATTTAATAGGATTTAACTGGAACTTAATGGGATTTATATAACTGGAACTTAATGGGTTTTAATTGGAACTTAATCGGATTTAACTGGAACTTAATCGGAATTAATGGGATTTAATGAGGTTCAATGTGAATTTAATATAGCTTAATGGGAGTTGATGGAGTTTAGTGGATAGTAGGATTTAATGGAATTTAATCAATTTAATTGGATCTAATTTAATTCGGTTCAATGAAAAAATACATTAATGGAACATATCTGGCTGAATTACGAAAATTCATCCAGAATCTTGTGGACGTTTTAGGGGATGTGTTTCTGGAAACCTATTGACCTAGAGACATGTGCGTGTGTGTGTGTGTTGTTTTTTTCTGATAATATGTATCTGTATATATGTTATTGTCTTGGAATCTTTATATTTTCCAAGTTTTGAAGTGTTTGAAGCGACAATTTACAGGAAATCTCAAGATCTTTTACGGTAAGTAACATGATTTTCTGTATCGTTTTCTCTGAAACCAATCCATTGAATATGGGGTTCTATGTCCTCTTCATTGTTCTGAATTCCCTTTTAGCGGATGGATGTCTATCTCCTACATTTTGATCATTGTGTGGGTCACATTGTCAGTTGCTGAAAGCTTAGTGCGGCACTCGAAGAGTAGCAAAGATCTCTGCCACTGTGCTGCTCTGCTGCAGGCCTTAGCAGTGGCCACCTCCAACTAATCCTGTCATGACTAATGACCAGTTCAATGGGAAAATGGTGATGAAGCAGTGGATGGAATGTTTTTTTTTCAGAGCCGTGGTCAAAAGGAACGCCAGATCCGTGCCACTTTGGCACCATTTGCTACCATCTCTCCTATGCCCTCTGCTACCCCGTTGTTTTTAATGCACGTTTATAAAAACAAACAACATCAACCAACACTACTCACTTGGGCTGGTACCATTTCAGCCAACAACCTCTTGTTCTCGTGGACCCAGTGAATTTGGTGCAGAAAACGCTCGGCGCTCGGTTTATGGATGGTACTCTGGTAATGACTAACATAGCTATTGAAAATTGCCATTTATAGTTGATTTACCTATAATAAATAAGGTGTTTTTCCATAGCTATGTTAGTCATGACCAGAGGGTATACCACCCATGTCTTGTAAAAATTGGGGATAGCGGATAGGCAAAACGGGTTTCTCACATTCACGGATCATTCGAAAAATGAAGAATCGATCCCCCATCCCAGCGGTCTGATTCTTGAACGGCTTGAACGGCTTACCCAATGACATATTGGTTGTAGTTGCCATTTTATTGTGGCGATATGCACCATGTGTTTGGTAAATTCTGCCCTTTTCTGATCAGTGAATTTCACCTTGCCGTTGGCTCAGATGTCTGCAGTTGGCTGATATCCTCACGGTTCGTTGACTGTATCAGTTGCATCAGTGCATATGTGTTGTTCATTTGTATGCATATTTGCATGCATAGAATTGTCACTGCAACCCGGAATCAAATACAAATGCAACACAATGTGTGTGTGTATGCGTATATATATATATATATGTGTGTGTGTGTGCTCATGTGTATGCATCTTGCAGATTTACAGTTGAATTGGAATAAGTCACCAGACTCAAATGAGGTGATTTTGGAATAGTTCATCCCAACGCATGGTTGTTGTTAACCTACCTAGCTATAATCTGAAATACATATATATATATATATATACATACATATGTACTGAGTATATACGTGCATAGTGTACATGTGTATGTATATCCGCCGACCCCTGCCTAGCCTTGGCCCAGGCGGGGCGGCGCCTGGGATCACCGCAGGTGTGCGGCTTTGGCCTGCTAGGACCTCGGCCTGCACGGTCCACCAGACACCAAACCCTTTGCCACTGCCTTCCCAAGTCACCGCGAACACGTTGCCCTGCAGCGGCAGCCCTTTGCCAGCGCTTGGCCATGTCGCCATATTGCCATACCCCACTCCATCCATATGTAGAGGGTGACAAAACCTGCGCGAAGCACGGTCCATCAGGACACAAGACCCCTCTGTGGGCCTTTACCGCTTTGCTGCTGCCTTCCCAAGTCACCGCGAACACGTCGTTGCCCTGCAGCGGCAGCCCTTTGCCAGCGCCTGGCCGTGTTGCCATACTCCATTTAGAGGGTTTCAAAACGTGTGCGAAGCACGGCCCATCACGACACAAAACCCGTCTGTGGGCCTTTACCGCTTTGCCGCTGCCTTCCCAAGTCACCGCGAACACGTTGCCCTGCAGCGGCAGCCCTTTGCCAGCGCCTGGCTAGTCGCAATACTCCGTTCAGAGAGTTAGAGGGTGACAAAACCTGCGCGAAGCACGGTCCATCAGGACACAAGACGCCTCTGTGGGCCTTTACCGCTTTGCCACTGCCTTCCCAGGTCACCGCGAACACGTAACCTGCGCGAAGCACGGGCCATCAGGACACAAAACCCCCGTGTGGGCCTTTACCGCTTTGCCACTGCCTTCCCAGGTCACCGCGAACACGTTGCCCTGCAGCAGCAGTCCTTTGCTAGCGCCTGGCCAGTCGCCATACTCCACTCCATTTAGAGGGTTTCAAAACGTGCGCGAAGCACGGCCCATCACGACACAAAACCCGTCTGTGGGCCTTTACCGCTTTGCCGCTGCCTTCCCAAGTCACCGCGAACACGTTGCCCTGCAGCGGCAGCCCTTTGCCAGCGCCTGGCTAGTCGCAATACTCCGTTCAGAGAGTTAGAGGGTGACAAAACCTGCGCGAAGCACGGTCCATCAGGACACAAGACCCCTCTGTGGGCCTTTACCGCTTTGCTGCTGCCTTCCCAAGTCACCGCGAACACGTTGCCCTGCAGCGGCAGCCCTTTGCCAGCGCCTGGCCATGTCGCCATATTCCATTTAGAGGGTTTCAAAACGTGCGCGAAGCACCGCCCATCACGACACAAAAGCCGTCTGTCGGCCTTTACCGCTTTGCCGCTGCCTTCCCCGGTCACCGCACACACGTTGCCCTGCAGCGGCAGCCCTGTGCCAGTGCCTGGCCATGTCGCCATAATCCATGTACCGCCTTGCCACTGCTTCCCCCTGTCACCGCGAACACATTGCCCTGCAGCGGCAGCCCTTTGCCAGCGCTTGGCCATGTCGCCATATCGGCATACTCCACTCCATCCATTTAGAGGCATTTAGAGGGTTTCGCAACCTGCGCGAAGCACGGGCCATCAGGACACAAAACCCCCGTGTGGGCCTTTACCGCTTTGCCACTGCTTTCCCAGGTCACCGCGAACACGTTGCCCTGCAGCAGCAGTCCTTTGCCAGCGCCTGGCCAGTCGCCATACTCCATTTAGAGGGTTTCAAAACGTGCGCGAAGCACGGCCCATCACGACACAAAACCCGTCTGTGGGCCTTTACCGCTTTGCCACTGCTTTCCCAAGTCACCGCAAACACGTTGTCCTGCAGCAGCAGCCCTTTGCCAGCGCCTGGCCATGTCGCCATAATCCATTTAGAGGGTTTCAAAACGTGCGCGAAGCACGGTCCATCAGGAAACAAAACCCCTCTGTGGGCCTTTACCGCTTTGCTGCTGCCTTCCCAAGTCACCGCGAACACGTTGCCCTGCAGCGGCAGCCCTTTGCCAGCGCCTGGCCATGTCGCCATATTCCATTTAGAGGGTTTCAAAACGTGCGCGAAGCACGGCCCATCACGACACAAAAGCCGTCTGTCGGCCTTTACCGCTTTGCCACTGCCTTCCCAGGTCACCGCGAACACGTTGCCCTGCAGCGGCAGCCCTGTGCCAGCACCTGGCAATGTCGCCATACTCCATTTAGAGGGTTTCAAAACGTGCGCGAAGAACGGCCCATCACGACACAAAACCCGTCTGTGGGCCTTTACCGCTTTGCCACTGCCTTCCCAGGTCACCGCACACACGTTGCCCTGCAGCGGCAGCTCTGTGCCAGTGCCTGGCCATGTCGCCATAATCCATTTACCGCCTTGCCACTGCTTCCCCCGGTCACCGCAGCGCCTGGCCATGTCGCCAGAATTCATTTAGAGGGTGTCAAAACCTGCGTGAAGCACGGTCCATCAGGACACAAAACCCCGCTGTGAGCCTTTACCGCTTTGCCACTGCTTTCTCAAGTCACCGCGAACACGTTGCCCTGCAGCGCCAGCCGTTTGCCAGCGCCTTGGCGCTGCCACGTGGCAATAATCCATTTCCTTCTCTCCAGGTTCACTCCATTGCCAGCGCCTTGCCAAGTCACAGACCTGTCTCTATTGGGTTTGGTCTTGCCATGCGTGTCAGAAGCTCCGTTGGGTTCCTTACCTTGCTACCCACCTTTCTCGTTCACAGGGCCGTCCAGATGGTGCGCTATGCTTGACGTGGATTCGTCCGGTAGCACGTGCTGACCACACAACCGTCCCACACAGTGGGCACTTGTGTGCAGGATAACATCGGATAACATCGGATAACCATGGCCCTCCAAATGGGGGTCGGCGGCACCAGGGCGTTAGCCCATTTATATATATATATATATATATATATATTATCTGATAGTCTAAAAATGTTTAACCGTAACCAATATATAATGACATCTAATATCCCAACCAACTCTCCGAGAAAAAAAAACTCCTGTTGTACCGCGTGGCGCTCATCAGCGCGTTGAAAATCGCCGCATCCGGCGCCAGCGACTTTGACGGAAGCTCTTCGAGGCCTAGGTACAGAGCCAGGTGCCAGTGACGGCAGGCACTGATGGCGCAGGCGAAGTTCACCACGCTGGGCTGCACCTGGAAAAATCATGGGAACAAATTTTACAAATGGTGAAAAAAGTGATGGAAATAGTGATCAATAGTGGTTACCCTCTGGTAAACTAACGTAACTATGGAAAATAACCATGCTATTAATAGGTAAATCAACTATTTCTATGGGCCATTTTCCAGTTCGCTACGTTAGTCATTACCAGAGGGTTAATGGTGAATAGTCTGTCATATGGTGAACATCATGGGATCATAGTGGTTCGTGATTTTTCGAATGGTTTGTTTATGGAGGTTTCTGAAGTCATGTAGATCACCAAATCATCCACCTTCATATGTGTCCACTATCATTACAGTTAAAATAATGGTTGATTAGTGGTTAATCAGCGCTGGTATCATTATAGGTGATCATTCCTGGGGGTGTTTATCCATAGTAACAATCCTTGTGGTAAATAGGAGGGGAAATGAGAGGAATCGACCTATAAACAAACATCATTGCTGGTTGGTGGTTTCAACCCCTCTGAAAAATATAAGTCAATGGGAAGGACATGGAAGGACTATCCCATATATGATGGAAAATAAAGTTCATGTTTGAAACCACCAACCAGAACATCAATGGGCTTTTAACTACTGCCAACAGATGGTTGATGATGGTTAGTATTGTCAGCCTCATAAGTCAATTTCAACACCATGTACCCCTGCTGTTCCTCATGGTTGCTTGGAGTGGTTTTTGTGGGCGGAAGAATCACCGCCAAACTTGGAGGATCAGTAACCCTGGTCACTAAGTCCCGCGACTAGGGTCATCCATTTAATTCCATTTATCAATGGACTACAACCCCAGTTACGAGTACCAGTTACTAAGTCGGGTGATCTTCCAAGAAGTGTGGGTCTCTTGGGGGAATGGCTCCAAATATCTCCAAATCCACATCAGCACACCATGGCTTCGGATAGGGTGCAAACCATTCACCTAGCTGGAAAATCCCCGAACGAGCCGAGCCATGGGAGACTTTCCAGCCACGGTTGATGACACAGCTGGTGTTATCCCCATGCCAGGAACACTTCAGATGGTGAAATCACCATGATGGCCATGAAATGTCAATATTGTTGGCTATCTAACCACTCGTCAGATTGTCTAGCTCAACAACATGTGACATGTTGGTTGCTAACAGGTCTCTCCAAGCTTTTTCTCATAAATCTCGTACTAGACTCTCCAATTTCTTGGGGCAAATAATGGCAAATAATGGCAAATAATGGCAAATATGTGTTCTTTCATCTGAAAATGTGGTACTCCAAGATTTGCAGAAAAAAATCCTGTCCAGTTGCCCTGTCCCCAGGGCCTTTTGAAGGGTCCCATTGACCATCACGGACCCGTGTTGAGTCAGGAGTCATATCCGACTTTACCCTCTGGTAAACTAACGTAACTATGGAAAATCACCATGTTTAATGGGTTAAATCCACTATTTCTATGGCCATTTTCCATAGCTATGTTAGTTTACCAGAAGGTAAATCAAACGCAAAATGGGTCTTATTCGCCTCTTCGATAGACGTTCGACTGTATCCATGGAATGATTCCCCGAATCCTAAGCATCCCATGTTCACCGGCTTCATCCGATCATCCGAATCCTATCCCAAGAATAATCCCAAATAACAAAGCCTTAATGAAATCTGAAATTTCTTTCCAAGACCTGAAATTGGAATTGAAACTGAAATTTGAAATAAGTTCCCCATTTCAAGTGAGTATTCCACACTATTCCCCTAATTCCATAGTGTTACCCTAATCCAAACCATCCCCAAAATTATGGGGTTTCTCCGGGGCGATGTCCACTTCTCACTGGGGTGAACGTGCCCACTCAGGGGTGAGCCACAAAGTCCTGTCCCATGACATGCTAGTTGCTTGAAAACGGTTTCCCAATCCTATTGGTTGTCACAATCCCCAGTAAATTAGTAAGATGTATAAGATGTATACCCTCTGGTAATTTAACGTAGCTATGGGAAATCACCATTTTTTATGGGAAAACTCACTATAAATGGCCATGTTCAATAGCTATGTTAAATTACCAGAGGGTAAATCCCAAAGTAACCCATCAACCATTCATGGTTCAAGTGATCATTTCTGCCCAACGTTCCGGGACGCTCGGCCTGCTGTCGTTGCATCTCCACAAAGCTCTGCAGGGCAAGAGCCCATTGACTCGCCTGAGCATTGGTGGTAAACAGGGCTCACAAGATTACCATGTCTGGAGCAGTGTCTTCCAAAACTATGTTGCGCTGTTTTCATTACTCGTGAAACTCAGTTCTTTCGGCCCGTAAGCAAGGGACAGTACAGTTGGCTTGGATTTTCTGTGGGTGCAAGCAGTTTGAAGCCTGACACTTGTTCCATTCTTGGATTGTATTGGACAAAACTCCCTGCTTGGAGTTGCCATGACACCAATGTGGTCAAGTCAAGTCAAATTTGCAACATTGTCACTTTTCTCAACTTCACGTTCAGCTTGTCCTTTGGACTTTCCTGCGCCAGCCAGCCTTAAAACAAACGATTCCACAGGGCCCTGCTCTGATGCCATATCCAATGTAGTAGCTGAGTTTTCCATGGGTATATGCTATTGGCACCACACTCATTCAGCAGCCGCACGACAGCGTCATGGTTGTTCTGAGCTGCCAAGTGCAATGGCGTTGACCCATCTTCAGTCATGGGTTGATCCTTGTTGGCCCCAGCTTCAACCAGCAGGCGCACGACATCGAGATGGCCGTTCTGAGCTGCCCAGTGCAATGGAGTTGACCCATCTTCGGTCATGGGTTGATCCTTGTTGGCCCCAGCTTCAACCAGCAGGCGCACGACATCGAGATGGCCGTTCTGAGCTGCCCAGTGCAATGGAGTTGACCCATCTTCGGTCATGGGCTGATCCTTGTTGGCCCCAGCTTCAACCAGCAGGCGCACGACATCGAGATGGCCGCCTTCAGCCGCCCAATGCAATGGAGTTGATCCACCTTCGGTCATAGGCTGATCCTTATTGGCCCCAGCTTCAACCAGCAGGCGCACGACATCGAGATGGCCGTTCTGAGCTGCCCAGTGCAATGGAGTTGACCCACCGTCGGTCATGGGCTGATCCATATTCGCCCCAGCTTCAACCAGCAGGCGCACGACATCGAGATGGCCGTTCTCAGCCGCCCAGTGCAATGGAGTTGATCCACCTTCGGTCATGGGCTGATCCATATTCGCCCCAGCTTCAACCAGCAGGCGCACGACATCGAGATGGCCGTTCTCAGCTGCGCAGTGCAGAGGTGTCCTTCCTTGCACTCCTGTGTCTGGCGCATCTTTCTTGGCACCTGCTTCCAGCAATAGTTTCACCATCTGCAAATTTCCATACTTGGCAGCATAGTGCAGTGCTGTCAGCCCATGCTGATCCACCAAGTTGGGATCCATCGGACGTTGAAGCAACTTCTCCAGTGAAGCTGAAGCATTGGCTCTGGATGCTGCGATGATCCTCTGGGTGTCTCGAGGCTCTGGCGGACAGAAATTCAGAACTACCAGCTCGACCTTCAGTGGAACTGCCTCAAAAATCATCGCATCAGGGATCTCCAAAAATCCGCCTTCGCAGAACAATCGCTGTCGAAATCTGGAAATGCCAAGCTGATCTGACAAGATCTGTTTCACCATTCTGCCTGACTTGCCTTCCAAATCAGTTGGAGCAACCACTGCCAGCATTTGGCCTGAGACTGCGGAGTAAACTTCCATGGCACAAAGAAAGAGAAGCCTCTACCGCGAATGTGTGGCGGAACTCCACTTTATAGGGATCCCAGTCACCTCAAAGAGAAGGCTAGGACTACCATGAATAAATTGTGTAATCAGTGGTATAGCCCAAATGGTTGTTGTTGGTGGTGGTTGAAGCGGCATATTCAAGTTACTGTCCTTCAAGTGGTAATTCGAAGAGAATAGGTTTTGCCATTTTGTAATACTTTGATTCTGAGTTCCATGTCCAGAAGTGATCCAAAATTCATGGATCAGTTGCGGGAAAATCATGGTCTTTCATGCATCATGGAAAGTATATTATATTATATTATATTATATTATATTATATACTATATTATATGATATTATATTATGACATATTATATTATGGTATATTATATTATGATATATCATATCATTATTTTTTCTATGTATCATATTATGATATAGAATAAAAAAAAATATACTATAATACAATATATTGTACTATACTATACTATATTACATTTAAAATTGAATATCATATATCATATATTATATATTAAATTTTAATAAATATATACATATATATATACATATTATATTTTGTTGTTTATTTATTATATTATATTTTGTTGTTTATTTATTATATTATATTATTTTATTTTATATTAGATTATTTAATATTATTTTGCATTATATTATATATTAAATTGGATTCTACTAAATTATGTAATACTATGTTACATTATATATCATATTACAAACTATATGGTATTATATTATATCATATGCTTTAAAAAAACAAACTTTATATATATATAATATCATTTTATATTATATTATTTATATAATGATATTATTTTTTGATATAATATATATATAAATATAATATATTACATATAATATAATTTTTATTGTATATATTATACTATATTTCATATATTATATTATATATTATTTATGAGATATTATATATTATATTTTAAATACTACATATTATATCATATATACTTTAAATTATTTTTTACAATATATATATATATACATTATATTGTGTCATGTTATGTTATATTACATTAATTGTTATATTTTATTATATCATATGTTTATACTGCATTATAGTGTATACCATATGATATGATTTTTTATACATTATATTACAGATTATTTTATATATTATGTATGTGTTATATATTATATATATTTGAAAAAATATTATACATAAGAAAAAATAGTAATATTTAATATCTAAATATTAACATATATTATGTATATATTATTTATTTTAAATACAATATATATATATATATATTATATATAATGTAAATAAATCATATAATATATATAATATGTAATACTATAATATATATTACAGATATTGTATATTATATATATATAATTTATTTATACTATATATAATATATTTTAAAAAAATGTACTGTATACAATAGATATTGTATATAAAATAATATATATATGAGATTTATATTTTATACATATATAATATATACACGTTTATTAAAAATATAACACACGTTCCCTGCAAGTGTCCTGGGATAGTTTTTCCAACAGAAATCGGGCACATTTCCACGCAATCTTGGCCCATCAGATTCTTCATTCCGGTGATGTCAATATATTTTGTTTAACATGTGTTCAAGTCAAATTGACGTGTTTGTTGTTTATTCCTTCATTTCATTGAATTTCATTGAATTTCATTGATCAAGACCCAGTGGATTTTTGGTGTTTGATGGTCTCAGATTCCAAGAGCTTGGTGGAAAAAATGTTTTGGATTGTTGGGAAATGACAAACACAATGCAGGTTAGCGTTGAACCCCATCCATCGAAACATGGTCGTGAGAAAAAAACATGGTTCATGGGATACATCAGCAGTATGTTCCTTCAGAATGAGCCCGCTATTCATCAATGTGGCCCAATTTTTTGGTTCCGTTTTGAAAGTATGAATCACTCGGTATCACAAGCTCATTCGATGGATGGCGCCCCTTAGTTCGCCAAAAATTGTATACCTCCTGTCCATCGCTAATCTCCATGTTGGATAGATCCCCGTTTTGTGCGCATGTGTTCCATCGTCAAACTGTACCCTCTGGTAGACAGATTTCACATGTCAAATGCCAGGTTTGACTACTGCCGGTATACAACCACTGGTTGGTAGACTTTGTGGCATTTTTGCTTTAGCATCAAATTTTGGCACCATTGGTTCCCCAACTTTCGTCCATCCATGGTGTCCCCCACTAATGTCTGTTCTATGAACTAGTTCAATATATCCACCACAAACTCTAGTTAACTCACTTGAGCCATTAAACATCAATACCCCGGTCCCATCTCACAATACTAGTTGGTTGATAGGTTTCCTTCCTGTGGCTTATCAAAATCCCCAGTAACTTGGGTAGTATAACTCCCAATAATACCCCATCAACCAGGGTATTTTCTTCATGTCAATGGGAATTTCAGGATCCTAAATTGGAGGTGCCTACCATATATATAAGGCCTCTTTTTCAGGCCTATGTAAGGGAATATCCCCACAATTCATATGGCCTTATGTGGTACTAACGTACCTCCATTTTAGGATCCTGAAATTCCCATTGATCATGGCTCACTTATGAACCACCTCACTTAACTATGAGGCACCCCATCGCCTTGTCGCAGGCACTACTCAACACGCTGTAACTGAAGGCGTCTGCCTCACATTGAGAGGGACCTTAACCACTAAAGATGTGAATTGAAGCAGCAAATTTTGGACTTGGGGAGTTTCAGCAATAAAAACAAAAACGATGAGATTACCAGCAAAAGATTGGATCTACCAAGCACAAAAGAAGATTTACAAAGGATTTAACGGATTTCCAACAGGCAAGTTTGTTTAAAACTAGGCAAGATGGGCCCCCAGATATAGATTAGTTTATGTTGACATCCAAGAGTAGATATCGCCAACATAAATCCTTCTGTTGGCCTAGTTTTAAGCCAACTTACCCATCTCTGGGGCCCTTCTTGTAGTGACTAAAGACGCCTCAGAATTGGGCCAAAAACGGCCAAAATCTGATGGTTGACCATGGTTGATCCTCACGTTCCACCATCAAACTGTCTCACAAGTTAAGGTGTGAGGCCAATCCGTGTCCATATTAACATGAAACCATGATCATCAAGCTGTGTAAAGTATAAATCACCGTTTTAGTTGGGTAAATCATCATTTTACTTGGGTAAATCCCCATGAAATCCCCTCTGTTTGGCCCTTTGCCGCCTGGATAGATTGGTTTCTCATGCCCTCGAAGAGTGCGATGGCTTCCTGCCACGCAACGCGCTTGGCAAGGGCCGACATACCTCACGACATATTGAAGCAGGAGTTCGGGGGAGGCAGCAAAAGGGCTTCGGGTTTTTTGCGACGGTAACCGGGGTTTTTGGCTACGGTGCAATGCTAGAAGGGTTTTTTGCGACGGGGAATGCCAGAGGGTTTATTGCGACGGTTCAGAAGGTTTTTTTGCGACGGCTAGGGAGGTTTTTTGCGACGGTGAGCGAATAGTGAAAGTTTTTTGCGACGGGCAGTGGAGTTTTTTGCGTCGGTGGAGGGGTTTTTTGCGACGGGCAGCGGAAAGACAGGCATTGCGACAACGACGGCTAGTACAGTACTAGTACTAGTACTAGTACTAGTACTAGTACTACTACTACTACTACGACGACGACTACGACTACGACTACGACTACGACTACTGCTACTGCTACTACTACTACTACTACTACTACTCCTACTCCTTCTCCTACTACTACTCCTACTCCTACTCCTACTCCTACTCCTACTCCTACTCCTACTCCTACTCCTACTCCTACTCCTACTCCTACTCCTACTCCTACCCCTACTACCTACCTGCCTGCCTGCCTGCCTACCTACCTACCTGCCTGCCTGCCTGCCTGCCTGCCTACCTGCCTACCTGCCTACCTACCTACTACCTACTACCTACTACCTACTACCTACTAACTACGAACTACCTACTACCTACTACCTACTACCTACTACCTACTAACTACTAACTACTAACTACGAACTCCTAACTCCTAACTCCTAACTCCTAACTCCTAACTGCTCACTGCTCACTGCTCACTGCTCACTGCTCACTGCTCACTGCTCACTGCTCACTGCTACCTGCTACCTGCTACCTGCTACCTGCTACCTGCTACCTGCTACCTGCTACCTGCTACCTGCTACCTGCTACCTGCTACCTGCTACCTGCTACCTGCTACCTGCTACCTGCTACCTACTACCTACTACCTACTACCTACTACCTACTACCTACTACCTACTATCTACTACCTACTACCTACTACCAACTACCAACTACCAACTACCAACTACCAACTACGAACTACCTACTACCTACTACCTACTACCTACTAACTACTAACTCCTAACTCCTCACTGCTCACTGCACTGCTCACTGCTCACTGCTCACTGCTCACTGCTCACTGCTCACTGCTCACTGCTACCTACTACCTACTACCTACTACCTACTACCTACTACCTACTACCTACTACCTACTACCTACTACCTACTACCTACTACCTACTACCTACTACTACCTACTACCTACGACCTACTACCTACGACCTACGACCTACGACCTACGACCTACGACCTACGACCTACGACCTACGACCTACGACCTACTACTACTACCTACTACCTACTACCTACTACCTACTGCTACTGCTACTGCTACTACTACTACTACTACTACACCTACTACCTACTACCTACTACTACTACTACTACCTACTACTACTACTACTACTACTACAACTACTACTATAACTACTACTACTACCTGCTACTACTACTACTACTACCTACTACTACTACTACTACTACTAGTACTACTACTACTACTACTACTACTACTACCACTACTACTACTACTACTACTACTACTCCTACTCCTACTCCTACTCCTACTCCTACTCCTACTGCTACTGCTGCTGCTACTGCTACTGCTACTGCTACTGCTACTACTACTACTACTACCTACCACCACCTACTAACTACTACTACTACTACTTCTTCTTCTACTACTACTTCTACTTGTAGGCTGCGCAAGACCACCTCATCCGGCTCCGCGACCACTGCTCCGCGACCACATTAACATGGAACGACCTGCGGGGGGAGGCTCTGCGCCCTCCCCCTGCACCCCTTCCCGGTTGTTTATAGGCACCGCCACGCGCAGCTGCGCAACACCACCTCTTCCACAACATCGCACAAGGAGGCAACAAAAAGCACCATCAAAGCACACAAGCGCAGCTCGGCGGCGTCGTCCCTCCCCCTATTTTGTCTGCCACCCAATATCTACTCTTACCCGGCTACTACCGATCATGTTGCACATTTGCGACCACTACCACTCGTCGCTCTCACTCGTTCCTCGTGCCCTCGCCAACCGCCTCGACGACTCTTCCTCTTCCTCCTCCTCCTCCTCCTCCTCCGCCGCCTCCGCCTCCGCCTCCGCCTCCTCCTCCCCCTCCCCTTACTCTGCGCCACTGATGCTACTCACTGAACCGTCGCAAAAAACCCTCGCTGAACCGTTGCAAAAAACCCTTCTCCGTGGAGACGGTCGCAATTCCCCCCAGACTTTCTCGTAAAGTTGCAACTGTTTGGAAAAGCCCCTGTTACTGTCGCTAAAAACCCCCTTCCCGGCAGGCTGAGCTGAGGCTGAGCTGTACAAGTAAAGGGGTTTTTCGAGGATACACAAACCTTTCATTATCACGATCATGGTGATGAGAATCAAGATGAAGATGAAGATGAAAATGAAGATGAAGATGACGATGATGATGAAGATGATGATGATGATGATGGTGATGGTGATGGTGATGATCATCATCATGGTGATGATCATCATGATGATGATCACAATGATGACGATTTTGATGGTGGTGATGATGGTAATGATGATGAATGTGATGATGACCATGATGAGGATAATGGTGAAGATGATGATGATGATGATGATGATGATGTTGATGATGATGATGGTAATGATGACGATGATGATGATGATGATCATGACGATGATGATGATGATGAGGATGATGAGGATGAGGAAGAGGATGAGGAGGAGGAGGAGGAGGAGGAGGAGAAAAAAGAGGATGAATATGAAGATGATCATGCTAATGAGGATGAAGAAAAGATGATGATGACGACGGTGATGATGATGATGATGATGATCATCATGATGATCATGATCATGATGATGATGATGATGGTGGTGATGATGATGATGATGGCGACGATAATGATGATGGTGAGGAGGAGGAGGAGGAGGAAGATGAAGATGAAGGTGAACATGATCATGGTGGTGATGATGATGATCACAATGGTGACGATTTTGATGGTGGTGGTGATAAAGACGAAGAAGAAGATGAAGAATGTGATGATGACCATGATGAGGTTAATGGTGATGATGATGATCATGATGGTGATGATGATGATGAGGAGGTGGATGAAGATGAAGATGATCATGCTGATGAGGATGAAGAAAAGATGATGATGATGGTTTTTGTCATCATTCTACACTGCTACCATTGCTATGTAAATATGCGCATACTTGAATATAAACCCCAATTATGGCTATTGTCAGTATCGTCCTCTCATCAGTCCCGTACCCATTCCTCTCTGAAAATGATCCGGCTCAAGCACAATCATTCACCAATCTGGAATGTTTGGTCAATATCTGGAATGATTCCCCGAACCATTGTCCATAGTGACGTCGCTGTGACGTGATTTGAATTCAGCCAAAACTAACCGTTATCATCAACATGATCATCATCACCAATATTATGGCTATTTACTATGTACTACAATTCTCTGCTACGTACTATCACAACACGTATCACTTCCATTATTGCTACTATGATCCTACTATCAGTAACCGTTGCCTCCTTCGCCGTTAAAACACCAAGGGACTCGCTGTAAAGCTCTTGGCACTGAGCACTGCCTGGCGAACGGCCATGGCACGCCCGTTCTTTGGTGCCGTGTGACACCGCAGCCTGGCTGCAGAATCAGAAGGTAGTTCCTATGGGTATCTATGTATCTATGTATGTATGTACGTACGTACGTACGTATGTATGCATGTATGTACATATGTATGTATGTACATATGTATGTATGTATGTATGTATGTATGTATGTATGTATGTATGTATGTATGTATGTACATATGTACATATGTACATATGTACATATGTACGTATGTACGTATGTATGTATGTATGTATGTATGTATGTATACATATATATTAGAGGTATTTATATATGCACAGGTATCCATATATGTTTATGCAAATATACAGACATAAGTAAGTGAGTATGTGCGTCTATTCGTGGCTATCTATGTAAATATATATATATGTGTATATATATATGTGTGTGTGACTGCATACGTATATATCTATGATTATATTCGTGGGCTTCTGCATAAATGTGGATGTATATACATATATATACATATATACACATGTTTATTTCCTCATAGGCATCTAGGTATATTCTTGGGCGCGCATATTTCCAGAATTGGGATATGAACAGCACCAAAATGGGTGGATGTGATTAGAAATAAAAAAAATAAAACAGGATCCAAACGAACAAAGAAAGTTGCGGCGGTCAACTACTACTACTCCTACTACTACTACTACTACTACTACTACTACTAAACCACTACTAAACCACTACTAAACCACTACTAAACCACTACTAAACCACTACTAAACCACTACTAAACCACTACTAAACCACTACTAAACCACTACTAACACCACTACTACACCACTACTACACCACTACTACACAACACTACTACTTACACAACACTACACCACTACTACACCACTACTACACCACTACTACACCACTACTACACCACTACTACACCACTACTACACCACTACTACACCACTACTACACCACTACATTACACAACACTACACTACACTAATTACACTACGCTACACTACAACTACAACTACAACTATAGGACACTACACTACAACTACAACTACACTACTTCACACACACTACACTTGACTACACTACACTATACCACACTAGACTACACTATACTACACTAGAGTACACAACACGACAGTAGACTACACTACAGTACACTGCGCTACACTACACTACATTAGACTACACTACTTTACAACGACAACTACAGCTAAAACTACAACTACAACTACAGCTACAGCTACAACTACAACTGCACTACACCACACTACATCCAGCAGTTGTGGGTGAGGTGACCACTGCGCAACCATTGCAACCACTCCAAACAAACACACCTCCAACCACCTTTCGGTCCATCAGTGGATTCGCTCTGCCATCCGTGATTTACAACAACCAACTTCTCCTATAGGTTTCCTATTTTTGAAACTTCCGCCACCGCCTTGTGCGGTACCACTGGTATATTATATTATATCATATTATATTATATTATATTATATTACATTATATTATATATTATATTATATATATATGAGCCCCACTAGAATGTCAATGTAGGTTTGCCAATGGAAGGGTTTCAAACATATCCAGCTCTACTCCCTTGGCCGGCGCCTGCGCCTTTGCACATGGAAGGAAGTGAGAAATCTACCCTCTGGAGCCCAGAGAATGAAACACGAGTCACTGGCCATCTCAGGAACCAATTGATTGAAGGTACCTACCATATATAAGGCATATTTTCTAGGCCTATGTAAGGGAATATCCCAACAAAATATGGCCTTATATGGTACAGTACCTCCATTTTAGGATCCTGGAATTCCCATTGAATCGAGGAAAGATCTATTGGAACCGTGGGCTTACCAGTCCAATCTTGGAGTTTCCGGATTTTTTTCCCGAGAAAAAGAACATCTGGGAGACATCCGGGAGCATTTTCTGGGCAAATGAGCCATCTTCTGGGCACTGTTCCAAACTGCATCTTGGGAGTTGTTCAAGGTTTGGCAAACGGTCCCTTTCAGCCACAACCCAGGAGGTTTCACGTTGCTTGCAACAGAAATGTATCAAAATTTATCAAAACAAGGCATAAGATGCATGATCCCCTGAATTGGCACCTCATGTCTCTGCATTTTTTGGTCCCAGGGCTGGCATTCTGCCAAGCATTCCCCATGGGTTGCCATCCTTGTCAAGTGGCACGTAGCGGCTAGCGGCTTAGCACCCTTAAGCCAAGTCTGAGTTTTATACTCCAGTCAGTTGGGTATATACTTGTCCTCCGGTAATCATAGCCATCGCTGTCTGGACAATCCCAATTCCAATAGGGGAAATCATCTTGAAAACCGGGGGATTGTCTATTGCCATGTTTCATTATACCAGAGCTTTTGTGGGCGTCACGCAAGCACCTCTTCCCATCGGCAAAGCTTTTCTTTCGCTTTTTCCACTGCCATCTACGCCGTCTGCGCCAGGGGATCTCTCCGGGTGCCGATTTTCACTGCAGTTTTGAGCTTTCTTGGGGTTGGATGTTCCTCTCAAGGACCTGAGTACCAACCCTGGGGTTGCTATCCCAAGACTGGGTGTGGTTTTCGGTCACTTCTGGTTGCTGAGGTTCAAAGGAAATGCCCAACTTGGTCTTTTGAGTTTCGAGTGGAGTTACCCTCTGGTAAACAAACAGTTTGCTATTGAAAATTACCATTTATAGTTGATTTACCCATTAAAAATTGTGAAACGTTTACCAGAGGGTACAAACCAGTAAGGTGGAGTTCGAAAACTGGAGTTCGAAAAATATGTGACGACATCCCGCGGAGGGACAAGAAAAAACATAGCTGTCATGGCTGTCTTCGTTCTCCGAGGAAATCATTGTCATGTCGCCGACATGGAATGGGGCTGGGTCAATGTGGTAATCATAAACCATCCCCGATATTGCCATAGATTCATTGGATACACCATCCCTAAATGGCGATGGAAAGGGTGTCTCTCAAGACAGGAAATTCAACAGTTATCCATTCTTCATCTATTATTGTTGGTTGTATAACCATTTTTAACCACATTAATTATTTCCCACATATATTTACCCTCGTTAACCATCATTACCTTCCACCATTCAACCCTGGTGCTGCCCCTGGCGCTGCGGCGCTCCGTCCCCGGCCAGTCATTTCCTTCTGCGATGCCTAGGCGACAGGCAGTCATGGTAAATCCATGGTTCATGGACAGTTCATAGGATTTGTTGTTGGGATATTGTTAGGATATTGATCTGGGGTATTGATCTGGGGTATTGATCTGGGATATTCCCCTCTGGTGTCATCAAACATTGCTATATGGCTGGATAATCCAGAAGTAAATGGAGGTTTAGTTCGGGAAAATCATCCAGAACTGGGGAATCTTCCAGCAATCCACCTTTGACTGCCAGATGGACATTTTTTTTCAGTGAGTAGAAAACAGGGTTTTTGGCCTTAGCCAATCTTAGCCATCGATGGAAAGATCCACCAACAAAGATTCTACTAGGACCCAGTCATGCGAACAGGTCCTAAGAGTTGGGACGTACCAGGAGGAGAGCCAAATTCTACCAGGAAGGCTTCAATTTCATGGCTAATTAGCATGAAAATTAGCCATGTTCCATGAGAAAACATGAGAAAACCATCTCCAAATCATTCCACTCTTGCGCTCGCCAAAACAAAAAGCCTTCAAAAGACCAACGAAACTCCACCACCCATCTATTCCAACTTCGAGATTTCCGCAAAATCCACTTTAAACAGAGGTCCAACGCCATATTCAATCATCGCCACAATTCTGCCATAATTCTGGAAAAATCACCCCAACAAAAATCAACCCTGAATCACCCATGGCTTCGCTTAGCCCCGGACTTTCTCTTAACGCTTCGGGACCTCGAAGGAGGCAAGGCCAACATGAAGAAAGTGGTGCCCCACTTCGTTAACCGTTAGCGCAGTTGGCCTATACCAAATATATATATATATACGTATTATATATTTTATATATATATATTATACACACCATTATATACCTGGGGTTGATGCTGGATAACAAAATTTGGAGATGCCGGCGGAATCTATGCATCGATTGTTGCCTTAATGACGTGTTCAGCGAAATCGTTCCATCCCCAAGCCAGGCAGGGGCCTTCACCTTGGGGGTTCTTGGTTTCTCCCATGATGCAACTAATGAGCTCAGCCGAAAGTGTTCCGGCTCCCATGCTCGAAGCTTGGTGGTGTTCCCATCTGGTGAAACCTGGATGACTTTGATGGCTGGAAAATCCACCGCTTCCATGATTTTCCCAGGGAATGAAAAACCTGCGTGGCGAAAAATCGGGCATTTCCCAAGCCATGTTTGATGACACCAATTCGGGGAATATCCCAGATCAATATCCCAGATCAATATCCTAACAATACCCCTACAGTTCCCTATTAACCATCCATTTTCCATGGATTTTTCTTAGTGAACCCCCTACTTTGATGCAACCAACCCCCCCCACCTGGCATCTTCGTCTCCGCGCGCAGAGGCGCCCTGATTGGTCCAATGGATTGGTCGTTTGCATCATCCCATTTCAACGGGGGTATACCGGTATACCCAATACTAAACCTCTATATCGGGGATGGTCTATTGTATAGTTAGCACATAATAAAAATCCCATATTTTCCCACTCTTCTCCATCGAAAAATCCATGTTATCCAATCAATATCCCATGAAAATATCGTATAATAAACTCTTTGATTTTTCTGCATTGACCACAGTACAGTACTAACCTAGAAATTGACAGTTATTCACCACTATTAACCATTATTAACAACATCATCAACCACTATCAACCAGTATTACCCAATATTGGATGAACATCACTAATCATTAATCACTATTAACATCACTATTACCCTCTGGTAATTTAACAGTTTGCTATTGAAAATGACCATAGAAATAGTGGATTTTCCCATTGAAAACGGTGGATCTTTCCATAGTTTTTGGGACTGTTTACCAGAGGTTAAACGTCCATTAATCACCATTAGATCCCATTAAACCACCATAAAATCCCATGGAAATCACCATAAAATCCTATTAAATCCCATTAAACCCCATTAAATCAACCATAGCTAGCTGGGATCGCGCCTGCCAGTCGCTGGGCGGCGGCGCGCCAAAGGCCACTGTTCGGCCGCCCTCCCTGCCGTCCCGGCCGTCCCGGCCGTCCCGGCCGTCCCGGCCGTCCCGGCCGTCCCGGCCGTCCCGGCCGTCCCGGAAGCCCGGCCGCGCGCCGGACCAGGTGCCGGGTGGGGCAGCCTGGCGATGAGGTGAGAATGTGCGAGTTGTGTCTGGAAACGGCAAAAAATAGAAATGATAAAAGAGAAAATAATCATGATAATAAAAAATAATAATAGTTATAGAAATAAAAACAGTAAAAACGATGATAGTGATGATGATGATGACGATGACGATGACGATGATGATGATGATGATGATGATGATGGTGATGGTGATGGTGATGGTGATGGTGATGGTGATGTTGATGAGGAGGATGATGATAATGTTGATTTTGATGATGACGATGCTGATGATGATGCTTATGCTAATGGTGGTGGTGATGATGATGATGATGATGATGATGGTGGTGGTGATGATGATGATGAAGCTGATCATGATGGTGGTGCTGATGAAGGTGATGATGATGAAGACGATGCTGAAGCTGATGATGCTGAAGATAGTGGTGATGGTGTTGAAGCTGATGCTGATGATCAAAATTTGATGATGATGATGATGATGATGAAGAAGATGATGACAATGAAGACGGTGATGATAAGGAGGAGGAGGAGGAGGATGATGGTGATGATGGTGATGGTGATGGTGATGATGCCGTTCATGATGATGCTGATGATGATCCCGATGATGTTGGTGCTCCTGATGGTGATGGCAATGCTGATGACCATCATCATGATGATGATGCTGATGTTGATGATGATGGTGGTAATACTATTGATGATGATGATGATGATGATGATGATGATGGTGGTGGTGATGATGATGATGATGATGTTGATGATGGTGATGATGATGATGGTGATGGTGATGGTGATGATGATGATGATGATGATGATGATGATGATGATGATGATGATGATGATGATGATGATGATGATGACGATGACAGCGATAAATGTTAATAATCATGATCATCATGATTATCATGAGTTTCATGATCATCATGATATTAGTAATGACAATGATTGTGTATCAGCATGATCATAATCATCATAAACATAATGACAATGATAATGATAAGGGTATGTGATGATATTGGTGATAATGATGATAATGATCATGAAAATCATGATAATAGTCATAGTGGTTATAGTGTGCTGTGTTAATAGTGGTTTGATATGGGTTTGATTGTATTTTAATAGTGTGTCAAGGGTGTGTCTTAATTGTGCTTTTGTTTCTTCATCATCTTTAAATTCAATGATGGAATGCCCATGCATTTGATGGGCAAATAAAAGCAATAAACTTTGATAGGCACCAATGGGGCTATATGTTGCGGGATAAGTTATAGATCATTTCTGTATGAAATCGGATAGAATTTGGATACTGACTTTGAAAGTGGCGTGCGAGACAAAGGATTTCCTGAGCCCTTACTTCTAGAGGATTAGCCCCCGTTCATTCCTTTTCCAACTGCAAACAGTGTCAAAGAAAACCTCACCAAAGAACCAAAAATAAGAGCTCATCAGATATTTATATTGTATATATATATATATATATATTATAGTCAGTTTTTTTTTGGTGTCTTTGAGAAAAAGATCTCTCACAGCTGCCCCTTTAACAAACCACGGCCTCCAAGGGGACACCATGAGGATAGCCGAAGGGTGGAGGATAGCCATAAGGCGCACCAAACCTCCACAGAGTGTGGGGTAAAGTTAGAGTAGCCCACAGCAAGATAGAGCTTGGTCAAATCCCATGTGACCTACAGTGGTTACTATCTAATAGTGGTAAAATAGTGGTAAATCACTCTTCAAATAGCTGGGTAAATCTTTTCCAGGTTACTATCAAGTTAAAGACTGCAAAACCCAAGAAACTTGTATCGAGTCCTGCGGCACTCTGCTCAGCTACAGACATGCACTATGAAGACACACTCATCAAAAACATTCAAAAAACATAGATCATACACCACCAACCTGATTTACCCTCAAAGGGTGGCGTAGAAACCTCTCAAAATTCTGATCTTGATCCACCGTGGCAACAAAGTTATACAACCCGTGCAGACCAGCCGATGATCTGTATTTCGAATGGTGAATCCCCCATTTTACAGGTCAAAACCGCCCAAAAACACCGGTTTGGGAGCTGCCACACGGGCGGTGGATAGAAGCGCCCTGCATACCTTGGTCGAAGAAACCGCGGAAATGTTGGGGATACCATGGGGATTATCTATGGGACATAATATGGGATACAATATAGGGTATATGATATGGGATAAAATAGGGAATATCATAATCTGAGATTATAATATGTTGTGTATATCTGGATATAATACACGGGATATACTGTATATAATATGGATATGGGATATAACCAATATATCAGCAACAATATGATTGGGTTTGGTCAAACTGGTTACCCCCAGTCCAAGGGATTGGTCTACTCTTGCACTGGGGCATGAAATCAATGGCCATTCCAGGATCCGATTTACTGGAGGTACCTAGCATATATAAGGCCTATATATATATATAAGGCCTAAATTTCAGGGAATATCCCTGCAATTCAAATTCATATGGCCCAAAATATGGTACTAACGTACCTCCAATTTAGGATCCTGGAGATCTCCCATTGATGAAAAAAACAATAGCTATCTTTCCAAGCAGTATCAGATTCAAATAGGTGGGTTTGGAAGCTGCCCCACTATCGCTCATGTAAAATTCCGCTGATGGTCAAATGCCGATCTTTGTTGGCATTTTTTCCCCACCTCTGCAATTTGAATCCCTACGTTGAAAGAACCCCCTCGATTCTTGTTGATAATATCATCATGCCTTCTGCATCTCTCTTTGCTCTCAGAAGGCCCATCTATTTAATCTATTTATGATTTATGATTTAGATTCATTCCTGATTCAGCAAGCTGTCGGGCCGCCAGTTTGGAACTTGTCCTTGCTGAAGTCCCTTTCTTGTTGGCAATGTATCCACATCTTCGCTCCTGAAACAGCCTGGTTTGTTTGTATCTGCTGGCTTCGTGAGTCCGTCTTCGCAACAAGTGTCACGGCTTTCATGACCTGACCAACCCTTCATCCAGGGCCATGCCACGGAGAGAAGAATGTCCCGATTGCGGTTCTATCCAGTTTTTGGCGGTTTTTCTGGGTACCCTTTGGTAATAACTGAGATAGCTAGTGAAAATCGCTATTGTTCACAGCCAAATTCTCTACAAATGGGTCCAGTCTAGGGGCACCAGCACAACCCCAGCATTGGTTTTTGGCTGAAACCCTCCATCTTCGATGATATTTATTACCATTTCCTTCGGGGAAATCCCAATTCTTTGTAAGTTAAACATAGTTATAAAGTTATAAACCAAAACTCCCAAATCTGATTGGAGTTATGTTGAAATCCCCAACTAGAACTATATGTTTACTATCTGAAAAACATCGATAAACTCCCAAAAATCCCCAGTTTTGGCTGAGATGTTCACCAACTCCATAGCCGAGTCGCGGATGGGGCGGGCCCCAGTCCGGCGGTCGGCCGTGCCCATGGCGCCTCACGACTTGGCGAGATGGACGATTTAGTATGGAATGAGGATTTCTTCACCTAGCAAAATACCCGGTGATTTCTGACATCGCCAGAAAAATCTATAGAATGTTTGAAAAAAAAATCTGAGTTATGGACGATTTATTTCCTGTGCTTGGGGAATTCAAGCAAAAACACCAACAAATCGTGGGAGTTTTTTTGCAGATAATCTAGCCAATGGGATGTAAACCAACCAGAATTGAGGTGGTATATGGTTTTATGCAAGAATAATGAGGACAAACGAAGATACAACCAACACTGGGAAACTTGGAAGCTTATGATACACTAACCACAGAGATATAGGCTAAAATCCAACAACATGTGCAGTTCATGTGATATTTTTTTCTGGATCTAGTTTGCAGGATAATGTTTCTTGATGTTCTGTTGTTTGCTTTTATATGTGCCATGGTCAAAACTCATTACCTGGGTAATGGTCATCCATTCCATCATACAAAACCAAACGTAATGGTTTTATAATCCCTACTACTGGGTTGGTGACCATCCCCAAGATGACGAATTGGCCATCAGTATTGACCATGGCTCGTGTGAATGAACCAAGAGTTGTATGGTGACCCTCATAGATTTCTCCGCGGCTTGGAAAACTTGGGAGATCTTGAGATCTTGCATCAAATGTTCGTCGTTGACGAGCAAAAAATGGGATGAACCACCGTAAAGATTGCCGTTCAAAAAGGTGGTGGTTTTCTTGGGGTTGCCACTTTGCGACGTTTTGCAAAATCGACCTTTGCATGGGAAGATACCATCAACCAGCCAGTGGGGTTGTTAGAGATCAATGATATCAATGATCTGATAGTGTGACCACCCACAGGAAAATCATCTAAAAGCTGAACTGAGTGATATTCTATAAACTATACAGTAGATAGGTTTGTTTGAGAATAGAATACCCCCAAACACCAGGATTCATCATCATTCTCCCTCTTAGAACAGCAATTTTGGGCTATCCAGTTTCAGGCGCATCCAAATATCATATTGTTGCTTATATGTGAGTATATTATAGATATATATATATATACACATTATTCTTCTTATTATTATCATTATTTTTATTATTAGTAGTATTATTAGTAGTAGTATTATTATCATTATTATCATTGTTATTGTTAGTAGTGGTAGTAGAAGTAGAAGTAGAAGTAGAAGTAGAAGTAGTAGTAGTAGTAGTAGTAGGAGGAGGAGGAGTAGGGGTAGTACTATTATTATTATCATTATTATTATACTAATATTATTAATATATTATATATGTTTTTTACTATTATTAATGTTATTATCATTGTACTATATTATGATTATATTATATATTATTGTTATACTATATTATCATTAGTGTACTATATATTATTATTGTTATTATTATTACTATTACTATTATTAATCATAATTATTACTATTATTATATATATATATATATTATCATACTATATACTATTATCATCATTATTATTACTATTACTATCATTATTATTAGTATTATTCGTAGTAGTATTATACTATATATATAATTAGTATTATAATTATTATCAATATTATCATACTATATTTAAATATGTGTATAGATAGTACCATCTGCTTATTTAACATAGCCATGGAAAATCACCGTTTTTAATAGGTAAACCATCTATTTCTCCATAGAAATGGGCCATCTATACCATGGCTATGTTAGTCATAACCAGAGGGTAATAGATATAGATATACTGATATACCCATTATGTCCCCATTCCAAGACCACAGCGATCTGCTTAACACCTGAAACCCCAAGGGGCCATCTCTCGCGCGGCTCCCTGTCGCCATCATCGTCCACCTCTCAAGCTCGCAGGTCACGTATGGGGGGATTTCTTCCACCAAAAATGGTGATGTTTAACCAAGAAAACTCGGGGATTCATGGGGTTGGTGGTTGATTTAGGTCCTAGGCCCTAGGCCAAAAAGTTGGGATTCATGTCGTGGATACATCTACTGTAGTTTTCATGTGGTAGGATAAGCCAGCATGACTGGCGGGGCTAGTTCCGAACGTACCAAGATGCTGACTACCTTAGAGGGGCTGCAGATCTACACATGGCGAAAACAAATCTGTGGTTCATTTCAAATCGGTGACAACTGAGTTGATCTTCATTTCAAACAACTCAGGTTTCAACCCACCATGGCTTGATACAACCATTACATCCCAATGATAAATAGTCCTCATCAAATGGCCGTAACTGGAGAAAATCCCCATTGTCAGACACACCCAAATATCATGTCAAGTTGGTTATGTCTGCCATTATCTCGTCAAATATCCACATACAGTATCTATGACTATATCAATGTGTTAGTGTTATATCTCCATAAAATATCCCGTGTTTATCCGTTTATCCTCGTAAAATATCCGATATTATACTCTAACATGAAGTTGCTTAAGTTTATCCCATTCTAGCCCTGTTCTGTCGCGATGAAGTATCTCCATAAAATATCTATATCCATATGGTAGCCTCATAAAAAGTCTAACATTTAGATCTCCAGGATACAGATATTATATATATATATCCAATGTGTGTCCCCATAATTGTTGGTCACAGTACTATCCCACTATATATCCCCTTTTTAGATCTCACTACATCTCACCATTCGAGGCGACCTCCGTCATGGCAGCCAACAAAGAGGAGGATCCACTGGCGAGGGCCTGGCTGGAAGTTTTCCCTGTTCAAAAGTGGAAATCTTGGGGAATTTTGGTGAAGAAAACGAATCCAAAATTTGGAAAATTCCTTACAAAAATCCAAATGTTGGAAAATTCCTTGGAAATTTTGGAAATTCCTTGGATGTTATGTTTTTTTAATGTTGAGAAAGGTTGAAAAGTGTGCAAAAAGAGATTGTCAGAAAAGTGCAAAAGAAATTGGAGGGAAATGTCGGCACCATTGGATGTGTGATTTTTCGTTGGTCCATTACGCCTTCAAAAATCCAACGATTGATGAAGCGATCAGGAAAAATCCAAGAAAACTGTGCCCCGAATTTGTGGAGGATCCCTGCATTGGGCACAGGAGATCTCCCAGAAACGATGTCTGAGGCATCATGCTCTGGCCTTCCCCACGGCCACAGGGGCTGCGCTTGACAAACGAACCTGCCAAGTCGGGGGAACGACTGCAGGGTGAGATCTGACCTTGACAAAGGAACCTCAGAAAAAACTGTTCAACCGGAGGACTCAGCAAAAAAAAACGATGAACTTTAGCCAGCAACAAGAATGATTTGACCAATGAAAAGAAAAATCACCAGCAAAAATGAAGGATTCCACCAACCAAAAATGTTGAGAATTCACTTTTGACCAGCAAAAAAATAGAGGATCTTCACCCGGAAAAAAATGGAGGATCTTCCCCGCGTGGCGCCTTGCCACGTTTGGCATCTTGGAAGGTGCCCAAGGGGACGGGCCTTGGTCCAGAAATGGAGGATTTCATGGGGATTTCATGGGATATACAGCTGGTTGGTGATTTCAACCCCCAAAAATCTTAGGGTAACGCCCCAAAGAGGATATAGAAAATATGAGGAACGAACTCTATGGACCTCTATGGATAGTATCTCGCAACATCATGTGAATATCTGTGAAAGCCAGATGAGTTTGTCTGAAAATGGGAGAATACCCATAAAATTGCCAAAGAACATGGAAAATGATGAGTTACCATGCTATTTGTTTACCCTATTTTCGGACAAACCCATGAGCAACTTTGCAGCAGAACAATGGGTTCAACTTCTGGGATTTGCTGATTTGGAAAAAATAAAGCATAAATTGAACCAAGTTCCCAGCAAATTCCCCCAAACGGCGAAAGCCATGCTTCGGCAGGCCCAGGATTTCAATGTGTTGTTTCAGTGGGAACCGCCCAAACATGTGGGAACAAAACGGACAAAATCGGATGGAAGTAACCTGCAACTGGGAAAGGACATCATAGAACCAACCCAAAATAAGGATAGCAGCTACCAGAAATGGACGAGTTTCGATGAGCCGTTGGGGATCTCTCAAGATCTTCGAGTACATCTGAGCGATGGCAAGTCGCTAAAAATGTCAGGGGGGTTGACCCACCAAAATGGACGGCTTCGTACCGCCGAGCGGCGCCGGGCGCGGCCGCGCCGGGTCACGTTCAGGGCTCCCCTCATCCTTGGCAAGGGGATTTCGTCTTGCGATGTTAGACCCGTTTTCGGGGCTTTTAAAGGGCACAAAAAAAAATCTGGAAATCCCCAAGGGTCCCTCGCCTGCTTGGTATCTTCCAGGGCCAGAGGTGGCGCCTGCCGGGTCACGGAATGGGATGCACCCTGAAATTCTTCCCTTTGTTGAAAAATGGAGGAAACTCAGGAAACTCAAAAAAATATCGAGGTTCAAAAAAAAAACATGGGAATCTGTTGGGAGAACATGTTGATAAAGCATGGTTTATGTAAGCGCAAATCAAAGTTCTTTCTCAGACAGTCGAAGGTGTCACAGCTCGGTTGCTGACTTTTTAGCCCTTTTTGATCCCACCCGACAATTGAAAAATCTCTTATGAAAGACAAAAAACTTTTACCCTCCGGTAAGGAGGTTTATAGCTGGGAAAATCAACTATTTTTTAGGTGGACTTTCCAGCAAGCCATGGTTGATTACCGGATGGTACGGATGATGTTCCTATCAAAATAGAGATCTTCCAAACATCCTGATCAAACTACTAATTCTCATGGAAATCCAGGTTTACCCCCCTAGTCGGGTAAACCCAACATGAACAGGAGGCTTCTGAAAGGCCCCTATTCTTGGCGGGTTAAAATCTCCGGTAAACTATTCACAATCATGAATGATAAACAAATCGCAGAATATGATCACCAGCTTTGCTGGCTAAATCCCAATTTTGTCATTCTCAAATCCCAATTGTTACCGCTTAAATGCCCACATTTCATGCTTCAATTCCCATTGTTCACGAATCAATCCCAAGTTTTTCATGCCTAAACTAAGTTCATTCATGGTGAAATCCCAAGTTTTTACAGTAAAGTCCAAAAATTTTCATGGTAGAATCCACAGAAATCATGGTAAGATCAACCTTTTTTCCTGGTACAATCCACGAACATCATGCTAAATATCCCAGGTTTCATGGTGAAATCCCCCCAGTTTTCCCATGTTTTCTTTCATGGCCTACCCCCAGGGTGCACCTCGTTGCGCTCGGGACTTGGCATGCGGTACTCGTAGCGCACGCGAGGCTCAAACCTGAGGCGTCCAAAAATGGTGGCAGTTGTGGTCAATACTGTTGGTGATTAAACTGCTGATTATTTTTCTCGTGATTAATGGTGACTTAACATCAAAAAAGTGAATAATGGTGATAAGTGATAACTATTGTGATAACTAATAACAATTTAACTGGTGATTAGTGGTGATCAATAGTGGTTAATAGTGGCTAATAGTGATTTTCTTAATGGTTATAATAAGTACTGATAACTAGTATTTCGGGCCATAACTGGGAGGTTTAACCACGAAACACTGAGCTTGAAACATGGAGGGAATATTGACGATTTTGACCGTGAAAATTGGAGGTTTTAAGCATGAAACCTTGGGGGATTTTGAGCATGAAACATTGGGATTTTGACCATGACACATTGGGATGAAAAATGATGGAAGTAGCACCGTGAGATTTAACTATGGGAAATATTGGGATTATAATGGTTCTATGGGAGCAAATTGGCAGATTTTGGAGGCTTTACCACGAAGTCTTGTATAAATTGTTGGTGATAGAATCCATGGGTGATACGTGGGATGTACGGGTGATACTCTATGGGGATAGATATATATATAGCGGAATCAGTCCCCCTCCGGGAGGAACGCACGAGTGGGCGCTCTGTTTTCACCTGAGCCAGAGGTCCCTGCCAGATCGCCACCTGACATATGTTCATAGGCATCCATGGATTGGCACGTGTTGGATTCAACACTGCTCTCAATCTTTAAAATTTCGAGCAATGACTGAACCAGGGAAGCATCCACCGGGATTCTTAGCACTGACCACTTCTTCATACAGCTTCAAGAAATCAACAAGGTCAGTGAAGCGCGGGTCTTTGGACTTCTTGGGATTGTCCTTCACCCACTTCACATACGACTGATGTTCAGGAGCAGTTGACCCCACTAAGTCAGCATAGGACAACCCGTCTCCTCCATAGCGACCGAACTCGATGCAACACTTGGACCACTTTTCCAGCGAGGGAATGCCATCCGGCAAGCGCTTAGGATCCACCGGCATGCTGGGCAAGTGAACCAACAGCGCATGGGGCTTGATCTTGGTCTCTGTGGTGCCCGCTGCCTCACCCACCATGCGGCGCTTTGACCCATCAGTCATAGCACCATGAACATCGCCGTCAGCAATGACTTCAAAGTCTTGATCCAGCGGCAGTGCGCCAGAAGTCAACTCCGCAAACATCCCCGGCAAGTCGTCCGTACCAAGGCCTTCGCGGCTAGCTTGCTGCAAGAGCGCAGCCAGCAGCTGACGACTGGACTTGTGCTCCGGCATGGCTCAGAAAGGAATCTCGAACGTACCACGCAAAATCCGGATGTCAAACCCCGGAGGCGTTCACGGCACGAACGCACGTTATGGAGCCAGGTGCTGTGCGATCGATACACTTCGGCAATGAGTCAAAAAGACTCAGCAAGGTTACAACTCTATTACTCAAGGACCCCTTACTTATTTATTTGTTTATACCCCATGAAAGTTATCTTACAGTCAGGCAAAATGCACACGAAAGACTGTGAGATCATGAAAGCATTAACGTAGCGTGATGACTTTTCCATCACTCGGAACTTGGCTGGTGATTCTGTCTGGCTTGTTTCCGTCTTTCCTTTTCTGCTGCTTGTCTTTCGAGGACGATAGATTCTGGTGCAATTTGATATTCAGAGCGTTGTAAACAAACACGCAGCAACTCAACCGGTTCTCCCGCATCTTTTGTAAGGCTGTCGGCTAACATGTGTGCAGTGGGAACCCATCTGACAAAAGCCTGTGTGGCCTTAGCACTTTCACGGATGATAATGACATCAATAGATGTCCGTCTGTCTTCAATGGCAGTTGGAGATGATGGAGAGACTAGATGATCATAGAGGCTTTTACAATCTGTCACAAACAAGGGCGGTCTCTTTTTCAGCATCTCGCGGCACTGACGAGCAGGAGTGGGTCCATCCAAAATCTCGGACATCAACAGGGCCAGCCATTCCACTGTTCCTGTGGCTGTCGCAAGGGCTTGTGCTTCTGCTGCCAGTGTGCTGCTGACGGCCCTTGGAAGGCGGTAGCTACGCCAGGCTGCTGGACACCATTTCGACACCTTGCCGTCTTGAAGCGATTTTTCACAAAAGGCAACAATGTATCCTGCTTGTGTATGTGATCCGACGTTTGCCCAGGCAGCATCTGAATGACATACTAGGGTAAGTTGTTGAGGATCAATTGCCTTGAACGTGATGCTCAAATCTCGATTTTGTTTCGCTCTTCTGACAGCATGGTTAGCCATACGCAAATCTTGGATTTTGGGGGTCGGAAACGATTGCTGACTCAAACTGGTCTGGGCTGACAAATCTGGTCTCGACTGTGAGGATAACCAGTTCAAACTACCATTCACCGCGCGCAAGATCTTGATCTGATGAGGAGCCAAAACTTGATTTGGAGTTGCATCTTTGGGCACATTCACAGGACGTATCTTGTCAACAAAGGAACCCATATTCATAGTTATGTTGAATTCATCATCTTGGGAATACCACGCTCCACAGAACTCGCCTGATTTTGTTCTCCATTTTCGATAGGGAAATCTTGCACGCAAACGTTGAACTGATTTTTCAAACTCATCCCCAAAACCTCCAAGAGCTGTGTCATCTACATGAACGCCAAGCACTCCAATCAGCGCTTGAGACTTGCTGGAGCGGAGATGGAACAGGCATGGGTCATATTTGCTTGGCTGCCAGCCGCACAGCTGGGCTTCTTTAGTGAATTCACGGAACCACGAGGCTGGGGCATCGTTTTGCCCATAGACATTTCCCAAAACTTCAATGACCGCATCTGCAGGTACACCTGGAATGCCGCCTGCTGGTTGTCTTGCATATAGGGGCCTATATTTCTCTTCCAGCGGTCCAGCTTCAAGAAAAGCACCTCTGATGTCTCCTAACTGAAGCAGCCATTTGTGGCTGGCGATCATCTGCATGAGTGTCATACGACCCAACTGGCTAAGAGTCGGAGACTTGAGACAACCTGATTCAGCCTTTTCGGCCAAGTCAGGATCCAAGTGACCCTGCAGACACCAGCGCCCTTTGACAACAAAACTATTGAGGTCATCAGGATTGACTTCCTCACCTTCCCGACAAGCTTTCCGTGTCAACACAAACCTGCTACCAATGAAACGGTGTGCAAACTTTTCTTTGATAGAGGCCGCCGCCTTACCATAGTGAATCTTAATGACATTCGGCTTACTGAGCATAGTGTTCCATTCCACCTTTTTGCCTTCGTCGACCATGGATTGCAATTTTGGAGGATTGTTGCTATGAGGAAGTTCCTTTTGGGCTCGCTTCTGCATGTATTCTGCAATAAGAACTTCATGGTTAGCAGCATCACCCAATTCAAACAAGTGATCAACATCTTGGACACTGAGAGTCTCATTTACTCTTTGGCGTTGTCCGGCAGGGGATGGAACAGCATCAGCAGCAGGGCCGGTATCAGGCTGGTCACGCTTAGTTCCTCTGGTTGCCTCATCAATTAGGTGAGGTAGCAACTCTTGCATGATTTCAGAGAAATCTTCAGGTTGTAGAGCTGGAGGCCGCCACAGGGACGGAGGACCATTCTTACCGGTTACTCTACGTCGCACAGGGCCATAGCTAGATTCGGCTGAGCTCGGACTGGGCAAAAGTTCTGCGGCCTGATCATGAGTCAAGGTTGAGGCTGCAGGCTGCTCACCATCCTGGCTTTCTAAGGGAGACTTATCTACTACCGTAGGAGAGGACAAGGGAGGCATGTCGGTGTCTGGCACATCACTAATCCTACTTCCTACAGGTACTTCTTTTGCATCGGTTGAATCTCCCGCAGCAGGAACCAGAGGGGCATGTTCCCTGGGGTCCAGGCATGGTGTTTCCTCCGTGGGATAAGATTCCGGCACCAAATCAACAAACTGTTGGGACTTCAGTTGGCCCTTGTCAATTAAATCTTTGATCCCGAGGAGTTCAGCCTGAGGAGCCGCAATAACTGTACGCTCCTCACTGGTCGCCAGTCGCACCTGTTCGGGTGCAGCACGGATGACTTGTCGGCGATGCAGGAGAACGATATTGCGGCCTACTGTACCCAGCACAATCGCACAGCCATACCATCGTCCCCCTTGTTGGAGTTTCCCCTTAACCCATTTTTGATGGCGCCAATAACAAACGTAATCACCTGGTTGGAAATCTACGGCTTTGCGGGGACGTGCGTTGAGGGCTAGGCGGATGGCTTTGTCATCCTGCAACTCAACTACTGCTTTTCTAGCTGTGAGACGCAAGGCTTGGGCTCTGGCGGCTGCATCATCCATCAATGATGCGGTGGCTGGCACTACTTGGATTGGCTCATTCAGCAGATCAGAAGGCACATGGGGGTTCTTACCAAACACGTACTGATGAGGAGAATATCCATGAACCTGTAACATCTGATTCTTAACATGTGCATGTGAAACACAAGTGAGCCATTCTTCTTGACTGTTGGGGGCATGCTCAACGATTAGCTTTTGTAGAATGCGGTCAAACCAACCACCATGTGATTCCGTCTTGCCAAGCTGATAATGCGCACCAGCTGCAATGGGACGAATGTGAATTCCGAGACTTTCTGCTGGACCGACAAAACCTTCACCGAGGTTTGTTCGGGCAGGGTCAAGGACAATCTCCTTTGGTGGACCAAACGGGGCTATCCAATGTTCATGCAACACCTGAGACAGCACACTGGAAGTTTCAGTTTGGAAAAACGGCACCATGCGTTGGAAACCACTGGCTTGATCAACCATGTTCACTGCCGACACTTTCTGGCCACTTTTCCACCCGGTGAGATACTTGACATCACACCCCAGCTGATGATTGAAATCGCAGACACGATTGGTTTGCGCTGGCAAAGCTACTTTGGGTCGAGCTTGGCTAAGGCAGAAATCGCATTCAAACTTCCTCGCAGCTTGCAGAGCCGGTTCGGATGCATTGGCATTTCTCAACACCCTCAACAAATCTTCTCTGGACGGATGGCCAAGGTTCTTATGCAAACGGGCAATGATTGGTTGCAGATCATCCACTGAGGCATCTTCATTTGCCAGGCATTCATGGCTGACAGGCTCTGAGTCGAGAAACTCGCAGGCAGACACTGCAACCGGCTTACCACACTGTTGGCGGTATCTTGGCACGCACTGCAGCACGGCTTCAACAAACTTTGGTGGGTATTGTCCCGCAAAGGCACTGATGGATGGAATTCCAGGGCAGCTGCCGGCTACAACATCATGGTGAACATGTTCAGGGTCACTTTTGCCGGGGCATTCAAGTCCAAGGCATTTCATGTCTTCATGTGACAGCAACAGCCGTGTGCCTTTGCGGATCAACCTAGAACTCTCAGGCAAACGCAAACCATAGCGACATTGATGCAGCTTGACTGTGAAGTGGCGTCGCAACAAGGTTCGCATTTCATCGTACCCCCACACTTGAGACGGCAGGGAGTGTTCAAACATGGCCCGTCGGCCCTGTTGCACTTGAAGGCGATACAGCTTGCAACACCAACGAATGAAACTGCGGCTTTGGGCTCTACATTTGAGAAACTCTGTTTGGGACATTCTGTGTCGGTTTAGGTACCACCAACCACCTTCATGGGTGCACGGAGGGCACAGCACTAGCAAGTCCGGTGGGTCTCTCACCAACAGATCTTCCACCACTCGCCTGTGTTTGGCGGTGGACAGATCCCAACCCTGCTTAATGTCAAAAGACCTTCCCCTAAAACCTGCGGCTTCAGCTTGAGTGGTAAACCTGGGTGGTGAAAAAACCCTCCATGACCAAACATCGATTGGACAGAGGGGCAACCTGGGCACATGCTTTCACCTGTGGTTCCAACTGCCTAAGCTGATGCACACTTGGAAGCCAGGGCACTTCGGACTGGGTCTCTTGATCAAGAGCACGTGTGGGCACCGAAGGATCATCATGCCAAAACTCGGTCACCACATCCTGACAGGCACGGGGCAAACGGAAATGCACGGACTGCTGGTTGCTCATATGAGAGCACATGTCGTCACGAATGATTTCTTGAGAGGTGGCGTCTCGGATGATACGCCGATGCACGTGTTTCCATTTCGGTCCATCACTACTAAGTTGAGGGGTTTCATTACTCCCAAAATTATACTGATACCAAACTTTGAGGGGTTCAACATGATCAGATGTCTGAGGAGGCACCTCGCTCTCTGGCTGTTGGGGCTCGGGAGACACAGACTGACCTGGACCAGCTTCAGGACTAGACATCATCACTTCCTCAAAGTTCAACTCAGAAGACGGAGCCGTCTCGGCACGACCGGGCACTTCAAGCACGTTCAGGACATACTGGCCGGCCTCGTTCACTTGCAAAGGAACTTCACGGCGATCCTCAAACAGGGTGACCGTGTTGTCAGAGAAGTTGAGCTGGGCTTTGAGTGACTGCAAAGCGGATCTGGAGATCAGCAAAGGCGCAGCACCCTTCACAATTGCAGCTCGAATCTTCCCCCGTTTCCCAGCAATCACCATTGGCATGGACACCGACATTGTGGACACTTCGGCTTGACCATTTCCAAATCGAAAATGATGAACCTCAGCAGAACGTTCAGCTGGTGGAATGTTGGCAGCCTTCCACAACTGTTCAAACTCACGAAGGGTCGATTCACCAATGATGGTACGGCCACAACCAGAATCTAGGACACCATATCCCGGGCTTGAAACCAGCAAGGTCTCCAGTACTGAAGAGTTCTTGAAGTCTGGATCAGTTCTCTGTTGCTGCAGCTGTCGGAGTTGTTGCAACATCGATGGCACTGGAATCACAGCGGCAACAAAATCCTCAAAGGGTGTGGGAAGCACGGACACCGTAGCCGCCCCCACAGTGGATGAGGACGAAGACACCGGAGCAGATTTCCCGGTTCCCTTATCGCCTGAGCCGACTTTTGACCTGCATTCACGGGCCCAATGGCCGATTTTTCCACATTTGTTACATTTTGTTTTCTTCTTGAGCTCTTCAACCTCAATGCGGAAACTTCGGCGAAGGTCTGTGCTTTGGTTGAATTTGCGGCCCTTCTGGATTTTGCCCAGCTCTGATCTACGCTCTTTCCACGATAGAGCGAGGACTTCGGCAACGTCTGACTCAGCAAAGGGTTCAGCCGAATCTTCGCCGGCACCAGCTTCAGGGTGATCCTGCAAAAACTGTTGCACGTCAGAAAAGTCGTGCTCGTCCACTGTTTCCTCACTCATCTCATGTTCAACAGCTAACAGTTCTTCGGTCAATGCCACTGCAGATCGACGCTTTGCAACATAATCTGGAAAGCATGACCGCAAGGAGGCTGCGATCTTTTCCCGTTTCAGCGAGCCAGTGGCCCTGGCTATCACCACAGCACGTTCACCATCACTCAGGCCGGCACGGTTGAGCAACAACCAGCCACGGGCCTCATCTGGAAAGGCTACACCAACTTTGCGCTGGCATCTGTCCAGGAGCTCGGTGGCACGAGCTGTCCATTGTTTCATGTTTTCCCCTTCATTGATTTTCAACGCAAACACACCGCCAAGCACTTCAGCCATTTCATCAGCAGTTTCTTTCTGAGGAAAACGTGCATCCAGCAGCTCAAACAGAACTTTCTCCCCATCCTTCTTGTAATACTCTTCATGAGACAGGTGTTCTACCGCTTCCAAGGCTTTCCCAGACAAAAGCGTGTATATGTATGGCCCACGGGCCTCAGCACTCAGTTTGTCCAGGGTGACCAGCTTGTTCTGCGTCCATGTCTTCCAGCGTAAGTACTCTTTTCCGTCTTCTGCTTCTCCAGAAAAGAACCTAAGGCCTTGTTGGCCTTCAACAGACGTCATGGCACGTGTTGTCTGGATCTTCGCCTGAAGATCAAAGGCACTCCATGGCTTGGGAGCCTGCCGAGGCAGGCTCCGCTACCAATAGCGGAATCAGTCCCCCTCCGGGAGGAACGCACGAGTGGGCGCTCTGTTTTCACCTGAGCCAGAGGTCCCTGCCAGATCGCCACCTGACATATGTTCATAGGCATCCATGGATTGGCACGTGTTGGATTCAACATATATATATGATGGGATATGACCAACAATTATGGGGATAACAGCTGGATATGTTTGTGGAGATGTCATATAGATATGTTATGGGGCTATCGTATGGATATAGATTAGGCAGTTACCCTATCACGTTTTCTTTAGAGCCTTTGGGTGGGTTCGTGTTCTGTAAAACGGGGTCTTGTGTTCTGTAAAAAAAGGGCCCCGTGTTCTGTAAAAAAGGTCTCGTGTTCTGTAAAAAGGGGTCTCGTGTTCAGTAAAAAGGGCGCTCGTGTTCACCAGAGCAAAAATAACAGAACACGAACCCAAAAATCTCGGAACACGAGAGCAAAAATAACAGAACATGAGCCCAAAAATCTCAGAACACGAGCACAAAAATAACAGAACACGAGCACAAAAAGAGAGCAAAAATAACAGAACACGAGAGCAAAAGCAGCAGAACATGAGAGCAAAAATAACAGAACACAAACCCAAAAATAACAGAACACGAGAGCAAACATAGCAGTACGCGAGACAATGCAAGATGACAAAAATAGCAGTACACAATCGTCTAAAGAGACCTGCCAAAAACGTGTTAGAGCAACACCCTAAGATATAGATGTTTGATGGTGATACTTATACCAACAACGTAATATGATATTTGGGTGCGTCTGAAAATAAGGTATACCTCCAATTATAGCCATTTGACAGGGATTGAGGGGTACCCTATTTTCAGGCACAACCTAATATCCATGGTTTATATCCTATTTAAATTTGAAGATGTCTTTGCTTTACATCCTATTGTTGGATATCCATGGTCAATCTCCATCTTTGGACTATCTCCATCCAGCTCAATGGGATCACCCAGAATCGTAACTGCCTATAGTAACTGGCCTTGCTTCACCAATGGGAGGATTCTCCAAGTCATTTTACGGTTTTACCGCACCCGCCCTGCGGCACTGCGTTGCCGGGCTCCAATTCGGAGCCTCTCAGGATATCCTGCGGACGTTCGGGATGTCACAGGATTGAACCAGTTGAAGGTAAAAAAAATGGTGATGTATAAAGAATCTGTGGAAAGTGATTTGTAAAGTAACCTTTATATCAGGTTAAAAAAAAAAAAAAGTTATTTTTGTCAAGGCTAAGTTGGTAAAAACCCAGCTGGCCAGGATGGATCCCCCTAAAAATATCCCATGTGTTTTTTGTAGCCACTGATGGTATGGATACAACATTAGTTGATGTAATCACCTGCTATGATGGCAATTTAAAATGGACACCTTGGTGATAAATGGTATATATTACAAACAAGTCTTTTTTAACAGTGACTGATCCGCTATTTTGACTATTACTTAATGTATAGTGTCACTTAAGTAGTATTAATAGTATGATTTGTCATTGAATCATGGGATCAAAAGTAACTATACATGTATATCAATTTATGACCATGAAAATTATATGCAATACATGTACCAATTACCAGTTCTTAGAAAATTACCGCCATAAACAATATGAAACACACCCCGGCCACAAAAACGGGGTATTGGATCTCTAAAAAAATTGGGACCCATAAGGCCCATATATGTCAGAGGGCGGGGCCCTGTCAGAGGGAATGGGAGTCATTAGCTATGGAAAGATCCACCATTTTTAATGGGAAAATCCAGTATTTCGACTGGGCCATTTTCAAGTTCGCAAACTGTTAGTTTACCAGAGGGTAACATTCATTCGCCTGCCGCATGGTTCGCAAACATGGTCAATACGTGAAACAAACTCTCTGGTTCTTCGCAAAGATCTTTGGGAAATCCCTATTTTTTGGTTCCCATTTCCCAAACATAACATTCAAGCAAAGATCTTTGGGAAATCCCAAAAAAACCTCAGCACCAAGAATGACTCATGGTATCATCAATCGACTCCCGGAGTTCCAGGGCAAATCCCAATCTGTTTCATGGATGATTGAGGGGTATATACCCCCATTTTAGGAAGCCTCCATATGAGTCATTAACAGTTATAATTATACTATACTATTACTATCATGGTTACAACTAATAACTGAGTCATTCTCATCAATATGCGTAACTATTCCAAGCCATTGACCCATTGACCCTAATGATTGACTGCAACTATTATATATACCATTGGTATCACTAGTTACAATAACTATGAAACAAAAAACACACTAGCCTCCTGTAAACGTTGGTAGAAAGTCTAGCCAGGTCTAGATCATATGTTCCCATATGGAGGTTTCCTGAAATGAGGCTAACCCAATAGCTGGATTGTCTATTTCATGGAAAATCCCACTCTGTTGATGAAAAAAAGGCCTGCCCATAAGGAAACCTCCATGACTCATGATAAAAATCACCCATTTATAGAAACCTCCATTTTTTTCACCAAAAAATCACTATAAAAAATCACTGACAATCCATGGATTAACCACTCTGAACCCATGGATTTCCTACGCTTTCACGGCTTTCCCTATGGCTTTTCCTAACGGTGACCCGCCGGCGCGCACACGGACCACACCTCCTCCGGCTCGGACCAGAGGAAGCGGCAGAGCCGTTCCCCCACCGAGGCGGGAAGCTCCTAAGATGGGTGAAATTTTTGAATGGGCCATGTCACCATGTTATTAGATGTTGGTTATTAGTTGTCACTAGTTGTGAATAGTTGTTGTTAGTTGTTATTAGTTGTTATTAGTTTTTGGCAATGTTCAATATTAGATATTGACCATGTTGAATATAACTAAGAACAATTAATAACACCTAATGACTACATAACAATTAATAGCATCTAATGACTACATCTGATTCTAGTGACAAAGAATATAACTAACATCTAATATCTGTTGAATGTTAATTATGATCTAATAGGGTCTAACATCATGATCTAATAGGGTCTAATAGGCGTTAAATGTTAAATATACTCTAACAGGTGTTAATTGGCGATGTCAAATAGGTTTGAAATGTTGAATATACTCTAACATCTAACGTCTAATGACTACATAGGTTACTAAGAATAGAACTAAGATCTAATAATATCTAATATTAAAAACAAAAAGCATTTACTAAGTGACTAAGAAAGGATGAAGATGACGTTTTGTTGGAAATACAAAACACTGCGAAAAGAATAATATGATGTTTTTTGTCAAATTTCTGGGGACAAAACCTGATGAAACATTGTGAAAAATGGTCAGACATGGTGAGTTTTGTGAAGCTTGATCGACACCCAGATGGTGAAACATGCTGTGAAAAGTTGGGGAAGTGGTTTAGCACTTTCAGCCTAGGAAAGAATATAAGGAACTGTGGACGTATTCCAACCAACTGGAAACACGCAAAAAAAATGCCCGGAAATCGGTCCCGAGGTCAGATCGAAGCGAGAAGAATGGGAAAATGATGATGTTATATAGTTATATATAGTGTATACCATCTGGCTATGACTAACATAGCCATGGAAAATCACCATTTCTAAGTTCGGTAAACCATCTATTTCTATGGGCCATCTATACCATGGCTATGTTAGTCATAAGCAGAGGGTATATATATATAACTATACACCATTTATTACCACCAAATCCTGGAGAGACCAGAGAAAAAATCATGGGCTCAGGAGCTCCAGCTGCATTTTTCCCGCTCAAAATCCAGGCTGATTTGAGGGGCACCACCAAGAAAAAAGAGAACAAATTTGGATCATCACCTCATTTCTATATTGGAAAATCACCAGAATGTTTAAAACCCCCAGGTTTTTGATGTGGTAAACCCGAAACCAGAAAAAAACGCATCGGCCACCAATCCGTTCTCCTGTCCATCTTTGCCTTTCCGCACTGGTTGATCTTCATTCTGCGGATTTCGGATATGATCCGCTCTGGCCTTGGTACCGTCCAGAAATCAGATGGGAAAGTCCCAAACTATCCCTTGATCAGATTTTGCCGCCAGGCTCAGGCAGGTTTTATTACCGGAGGTAAGGTAGGTAGGGTGGTTGTTCCATCCTCGTGAATTCTGGACCCTGCAATCTATGTAATTTGCTTCACAAAATTCTGTTCAACTTGCCCCAGAGAAGCTTGGGGGAGCATCAACTAGCACCCCGGGCCTAGCTGTGTTCCAATGGTTGAATACCTCAAGGTTCGATATAAATATCCCAAGTGTTTATGTCTACCATCTGGTTATTTAACATAGCCATAGAAAACCCTTGTAAATGGAGGTTTATAGCTGGGAAAATCATCTATAAATGGACCATGGCTTCCATGGCTATCTAAATAACCAGAGGGTATATCCATCTGGGTAAATTATAATATTTCACTAACCTGAATTAAGGCCATTTGGGGATAATTTCCCTTACTAACCATGATTTCCAGTGAGGTCGCAGTGAGGTCGTTATAATTTACCCAGATCCATAGATGAATTCCTGATCTTACATGGGTGAATCCCCGACTTTTGCAGTGCTGCTTCGTACTGCAAAGATTGATCCATAATGCCAGCCCGGTACCCCCAAATACAGTCCAGGGATGTCCAGGGGTTGTCGGTTTCCCCATAGCTAATAATCATTATCTCCACAAAAAGAACATATAGTTCTGTTGGTGAACCACCATTAAAACCCAGCCTTTTTGTTGCCTTTTATCACTCTCAACACCAGAAAATCCTGTCATGTCCCCATAAAGTGGTTGCTTTTGATATCTCCAAATATCAGACCACATGTTTAAAACCCGCCAATTTTAAATGATGATGAAATTCAAACAATATGTCCCAATCAACTTTGAGATATTTCCCACTTTTTCCCACTATATCCCCATCTAACAACCATTTAAATTGGTACCACCATTGTCGCGTAAACCCAATTTGTGATAGTCGACCCACCATTCTGGATGGTTCCACCACTATTTGTGCTTTTTGATGGTTAAACCACCATCTTTGCTGGTTAAACCACCCCCATCTCGTCATGATGAGCTCCGGACCAACGGCACGGAGCAATGTTTTAGCCAATGGACCTGGACGGAAACGTGGCGAAACGTGGCGAAACGTGGCGAAACGTGGCGAAACGTTGCGAAACGTGGCGAAACGTGGCGAAAAGCGAGGGAAATGGTGATGTCATGGGCAAATCATGGTGAGTTCATGGAAACGTCATGATTTCGCGGGGGATTCCATGCTGATTTCATGGGAGAATCGATAGAAAACTCACCAACTTCACATGATTACCCTCTGGTTATGACTAACATAGCCATGGTATAGATGGCCCATAGAAATAGATGGTTTACCTATTAATAGCGTTGTGATTTTCCATGGCTATGTTAGTCATAACCAGATGGTACATGTGATTAGATGGGGATGTCGCTTGCGATTTGAGCGAAATGAAATGGTGATTGGATCGGATGGCCATAGGGTCGCCCTGTAACCCTCTGGGTACTAACGTAGTGAACTGGAAGATCACCATGTTTACAAGGGAAACCATGTTTTTCATGATCTGTTTCTATGGGCCATCTATACCATATAGCTACTGTATGTCAAATAACCAGAGGGTACCTGCATCCCAAAAAGATCAACCTCCATTGACAGGGCATGTCCCATTGCAAATCGCGGGTCAGACCGGGAGTGCAATCCTGCCTTGAAGCTACGCCCCAGTCGGTTGGAGAACTCACCCCAAATGCCTCGGCAGAGTGCTGCGGCTGAAACCGATTTTTGTTCGAACCTTGAACCTCACAAAAGTTGACTCAGTATCTGAGTACCCACTGGTAAACTAACATAACTATGGAAAATCACAATTTTTAATGGGAAAATCCACTATAAATGGCCATTTTCAATAGCTATTTTGACATAACCAGAGGGTATCTTTTCATTCGTCATCCGTTCATCGCTTCATGGGTCCCCGAAAAAAAATACCCTGCCTGGGAAAAGTCGTTCATCCGGTTCATCCAACATCCGAGCATACCTGGCGACGATTCGCTGGCTGGTTTGGTCAGTCCGAAAGGACTCCAATGGCTATCCCACAGAAATATACAGAAATGACAAATTGAAGTGCAATGAACTCCACCAAACACCCAACACTTCAGTTGAATGATCCAAGTTGTCAACTGATCGATCAAAGTCTTGCAAGCTGACTGTATCATTGCATTGGTGTTTTAGAAATCACGGAAACCCATAGTCTGTCATGTGGTAAACCCCAATAATGAGCCGTCCCTAGAATCATCTTTTTTTGGTATGTAAACCATCCCCAAATGGTAGGTTTATGGCCTTGGGTAGATACCACATTATTCCAGTTCTCCATTCTTCATCTATTATTGTTGGTTGTATACCCATTAATAAGCATTATTAATTATGAACCATAGTTTAACATTTATCAATCACTATGAACCATCATGAACCATCATTTTGGAATGGATGTCCCACATTTTGAACCATCATGAACCACCATTTACCCTCTGGTAATTTAACGTAGCTATTGAAAATGACCATTAAAAATTACAGTAGTTGTTTTTCCCATGAAAAATGGTGGATCTTTCATATTTTCCATAGCTTTTTGTATGTTTACCAGGCCGGGTCTCCAAGAAGATCTCCGGCAGCTTACCCCAAGAAGGTCCGACTCTCCGCGGAGGTGAAAATCCTCGGAAACGACACTGGTGATGTGAAAATGGTGAATGCTACCTACCGTCTGGTAATTTAATGGTGATTTATTGCTGTTTCATGAGTTTCATGGGACTTCAAAATGTGATTTAATGGATTATGAATGGGATACACCCTCTGGTCATTTAACCTATAGCTATGGAAAATTATGGAAAATGGCCCATTATATAAGTGGGAAAGATTTTAGAAACGTCACTTGACAAAACAGATTGACATTTTGTTGGGAGCTACGAGCCTCTTCTTTTTTGCCATGACCTGGTGTCCCACTGGAAAGCTGGAAAGCTGGAATGGGGTGATGCAAATATGGGCTGATCTGGCCAACTGAGCTTCGCCGCGGTGAACTTGAAGCCTCCTAAACCATGTTGATATATGGGATATGACCAAAATTTCTCAAGCCATTCCCATATATCAACTCTTGGTAAATTTGATGAAAATTGAGGATCCAAAATTCATCCCATGGAAATCCTATGGGTTTTTCCAAGAAATCAATCCATCTCTGCATCCCGCTGCAGCCCAGCGTCATGATGACATGATCCACTTCCCGAAAGCCCTGACGTCTCGATATGGTTCCAACAAGGCTGGAAAAAAAGGGAATGTGTCCATGGGTCTCCAAAAAAAGCCTGCATTCTTAAGGCAGTGAATTTAGGGCGTTGAAACCCACATGTCGCTATAATTTTGGGGTGAAACACACAAAGAGTTAGGGATGGCACTCATATTTAAGCAGAGTTTTAGCATGTTTTAGCCCATCAAAAAGTCAGGGAATCGTCGCCTGAGACAGTCTGGATGTGTTGCCACTGCCAGTAGCCCAGATCCCCTGCGTCCGGACGCGGCACAAGCGCGAAAATTCGGTCGCGTTCTCACGGCTGGGTGGTAGGAATATCACCAAACATCATGGATGAATCAGAATTGTAGAAACAAAGTAAAAGCCGGTATAAACCACATAAACCACAAATACAGCTACCTGCAACGAGAGGTGAAACCTGTGATACATGGACTAGGACTATGCAACGACAAGAATCATACCCTCTGGAAATCAAACATGGCAGGCAACTGGAAATCCCCGAACCGCTACATGGAGGTGGATAGTTCGCTGGGAAACTCATCGAACTGAAGGGTGGATTTTCCAGCCATGTGACTGATCACGGGAGGCTATATCGAAAGGAAAACGGATAATAACGATCATAGTAACAGTAGTAATGTATGTTAATATATATATATATACATATATTTAATGGTAGTGATTAGTGATGGCGGTAATAGTGATGATCATCATCATCATCATCATTGTCGTTTTACACCATGGATTCACATCATGGATAAGACTAATGTATGATGATTCTCATTAAACCAGCCAGTACAACCCCAAAATCATCCAGCGCCATGAACCAGGAGGAAATGACCATAGACTGAACAATGGGTAGCGAAACCCTCGAAACAAAAACGAAAATTTCATGATTTTCTTCTTTTCCAAAAGAAAAGTTCCAAAAGAAATAGGGAATTCTCCAGGCCACCGGGGGAATCAACGTGAACCAACAGTACAATGAGAAGATCGGGGTGTACAGTGTACAGTGCATGAGATTTACATAACAATTCGGTCTGACCCTGATGGTTTCCACCATTCCGAACACAAGTCACCAGTCCACTGGGTTTTGCCCCCCTTTGTGCTCTGTCACTCACAACGTCATCGAACATCCTACGATTCCCCGTTCTTTACATAAAAAGCACATCCTCAAAGTTTCACCAAAATCAAAAAGATGAATTGGATGCTGAGATTTACAACGCCCAAGGCCACAGCTACATGACCGGGATTCAACTCACCAGCCAAAAACACCTCTAAGAATCACCATTTTCTGAACCGCCTTGCACGCCGAAATCTGAACATTGCGCAGGTTCCTCGCGGTGCTTTCGAAAACCCGAGCACAATGGGTGGGTTGTTGGCCACCCGAAGATGGTCCAGCCAAGCAAGTGCTTGGGATGGGAACCCATCGAACATGTGAGGATCTTCCAGCCTCAAAAAATCTATGATTTGTCCCATCTAATTGGGACAGCTAAGCGACAAAACACCAGCGGATCCAACCGTTGCTGCCAAGTTACATCGATCTCATCACCTCAGGCTCCCGGACTTCAGAAAATTGTCGGCGCGGCTAGTAGTGGATGCCCCCAGGGTTTTTTTTATACAGTTCCTACAAGTCAGAGAAATGTCCATCCCAGATTGACCAAGTCTGAGTTCTGAGAACTCACCAGGTTCACAGCCATGGCATCATGGGCTCAGCAGTCCGGTGCTGGGCTGCCCCAGCGAAGTATCTGCACTTCCCTGGCGATGCTCTGGAAAAAAAAAAAGCCGCAACTTCGCATGCTTGGGTGGTCAACTCCCCATTATGATATGTTTTTTCATAGGGATTTGACTCATCCATAACAACCAAAGGCAAAAAAATGTGGTTAAAGCAATCGTAAACCATCCCCCAAATCACCAAATCACCAGAAATAGGTGGTATAAACCATTCCCAAATGGGTAGTTTATGACATTGTTTTAACCACATGAGACGTTATATCCTTATGTTACTGGTCTCCCAAATTTGTGTTGCTTAAACCACCATGTTTGATAGTCAACACCATCATTCTAAAACCACCAGTTTGGATGGTTAAACCATATCTGTTTTTGGTTGAACCACCGTTTTTGGATGGTTAAACCACACAAAAATGGTTGGTTGAAGCACCATTTCCGGATGGTCGAACTCCCGAAGTCACCATCTCTTCAAGCTCGCCAGGTGGCCGTTCACCGGAGGCGGCAAACCCGGAATGGCCGCGCCGTCGGAAGGGACCGAGGAGATCTGCCATGGCTTTCATGGTGGTATAACACACCATTGGGATATCATGGGTATAGAATTTAGGACATCTGTTTTTTTGCACCTGTTTTTTTGACTTCTAGGAGTTAAGCAAAGCATATATATATACGTATATATATATATATATAAGCTGGGTGTATCAAACAACAAGTATGGGGATTTTCAGGGAGTATGAAAAAAACCTGGGATACAATGGAGGGTACCCATCGAAAAGTTGTTTTTGTCCAATTTCCGTAAAGGGGCCCAGTCCTTGCTGCTGCTTGCAACAACATTCCTGAATTACATACAAAAATCTAGTCCTTCTATCAGAAAAACAACGCAATCTTTTTTCAAATTCCAACAGAAAAATGTGTTCATAGCAGCAAAGTTGGAAAACGTATTTCAAGAAAAAGATTCGTTGGACAAAATGCTGTTTGAAAGTCACAAATCATGGAAAATGTCAGCAGTTCACCACCATTCAAAACGCTTT